TGTCCTATGATGGAATATAAAAAATTATAGCAGATATGGTATATATATATATATATATATATATTTCAAGATGACATCATTCATTTTTATCTTGAATTTTCGCAATTCTACTCTTAAATACAAACATTCATAACTTAATATTTTTATTTGTTTTTTAATATTAATGTAGTTTAGTAATAAGTTGTAATAATTTACAATATATAAGTTGTAATAATCATTTACAATATCAAATAATACTTCATTTTCAGATTTCTGCTCATAATGATATATGGTGCTATGCTGCTATTCAAAAATTTAAGGAATTATGTACAAATTCTGTGGAAGCTTATATCAAATGTCAAATTGATGATAAGTATGCTGTACAGTTAATTGCTTCTGTATGTGACTTTAACTGTGATATTGGCCAAAGTCTTTGCTATGATGGGTTTGCTACTGAAGAGGATGTAAGTTGTAAATGAATTAAAGTTCACATTATTTTTTATACCATTTCTGTCTATATAAATTCTCTTTATTTTTTATAATAGGAATTTTATGGAAAAAATAACCTTTTTTTTGTGCCCAAATGTTTTAATTTTATCTGGCTGAACTTAGGCTATGCTTAAAATATGACTCTCTACTTTTAGAGATTCAGCTTGAAGGGTTTAAAAAAGGTAATTTTTAAAGCCCTTCAAAAATATTCATTTGTTGTGCAAAATATATAAACAGATTCTGGTAAGATTGGGATATTTTTCCATTATATGAGTCTATTTTCTTAATTTTAATGACTTACAGGATTTGTTTTTACAGAAATGTTGGTATTTATTTACAGGAAGGTCAAGAATTTTTTATGGAAAAATAACTTACTTCTACAATTTAAATTTTTTTTTTCTTATGTTGTTAAATATCATACTTTTTAATACAAAAATCTAAGTTTTTTTGTTTTGTTTTGTTTTTTTCTCTTTAAAAAAATAAAAAAGGGTTTTTTAGTAAAAATATTTAAATTTTTATTTTTATTTTTTTTACAGCTACAAAACAAACTTTCTTGGCCTCAATTTTTTCCTTGTGATGTTAAGTGTCATATTTTATAATTTAAAAAAAATCAAAAAGGTTTTTTGTTTTTGTTCATTAAAAAATGGTTTTTAACCAAAATAATTCTGTTTTTTTTTTCCTTCACAAAATTGACCTCAGTTTTTTTTCTCCTTGTCTTAAATATATTTTTAAATAAAAAAAAAGGAATGTGTTTTTTGTTTTTGGTCAGCAAAAAAAAAAAAAAAAAAAAAAAAAAAAAAAAAAATAATAAAAGTGGGTTTGATCCAAAATAATTCAAGAATTTTTTCATAGCACAAAAATAATGTTTCTTGATTTCAATTTTTTTTACTTCTAAGATCAAAAGTCTTATTTTTCAATGTAAAAAAAAATCAACTGCCAATGCAATATTAGGTCACAAATTCCTTTTATACACCTTACAAACTTCAGACATACAAGAACTTACCACCTTCTCCCAATATACTGTTTATTTCAAAATAGAGTAAAAAATTAAGTTTATTATTCTTAAGAAAGCAGGGCTGATTGTGCTCCGGAAAAAATCCGGATTTCCGGAATTTTCGCTAACAGTGATCCGGAAGTTTCCGGAGATCGAAGGTCCAGATGTTTCAAAAAATCATGGGTCACAGAAGTTTCCGGAAATCAAATTTTCAATGGTGGAACTTAAAAACACAGTTTATTTTATTTGTTTGTAAGGGAGAGCCAGAGAGATACTTTATAAGCTTATATTATGATTAATATTCATTTTTTATCAGTAAACAGTTGTTATAATCATGAACTCAAGAAAGAAAGACATATTTATAAATTTTAATTACTTCTCCAGGTCATCATAGATATGTGTAAATGGTATAGGTATGTGTAAAATTTTAAATATATTTTAAGTAAACTAAGAAATATTGAGAAAAAGGAAAAAAACCTCGTTTAAATTTTTTTTCTAATTTTTCAATTTAAACTGTCTTTTTTTAAAAATTTTTTTAACTCAATTTTCCGGAATTTTGACTTGAGCTCACAATCACCCCTGAGAAAGTAACTTCACCATCATTTTTAAAAAGATTTTCACTTTTTTTACGTATTTCTTCGGAGTAATATGATAATAGGAATGCACAACATGCAAGCTGTTGAGGTTTTTCCTTCCATGGCTGCATTTGGACACAATGAAAAAATTATCCTTATTGATATTTTTTTTCTTAAAAAAATGCTGAAGCATTTAAAAAAACTACCCTTTATAATTCTTTTATCATGATGGAGTCAGCCTTTCATTAATCAGTCTGTTTTGCAAGTGGCTCTTCCCTAAAAAATGCAAATGATGAAATTGTATATCATTTAGTATCGTTTAAGGTGTAGCTAGACCTTCTTAAATTCAATTTCTAGATTTATTGTCAATTAGATGGGGAAACACCTACCATTTGTCATTTAGTAATGATAATAAATTAAAATACGATATTATAAACAAAAGTGTAAAAAAAAAAAATACTTCTGTGAAAATTTTTTTGTTATTCTATATACATTTATCAGTTTTGAAATGTGGTACATATACTGTCTTTAACCTTCCAAACGTAGCTGCTCTGGACTAATTTGTTTTAAAATCTGACTTCCACTAATCTAACTAAGATAAATTAATATAAAAAGTATTAATAACATTATTTTTAAAAAAAAAAACATTCTACTTTTCTATTGAAAAACATGAGAAAACTGGTTTTTTAATGCAGAAAAGCCACCAGCTGTAAGTTGTGAAAAAGCTGAGTTCAACTATCAAAGGTTTAAATTTCTTTCTTCATTGCTGAAAAGTTTAGTCTTTGATGTTAAAAGGTTTAGGTGGTTTTGGTTTCATAAAAAACACATCAATGTACAACTTCTATCGACTTTCTATAACTTATCTAAAATTTACCTTAGGATTTTGAGTTTTGAACCGAAATTTAACATTAACGCAGACTTTATTTAATTGCCAAAACTTTTTTGAAACAATACAAAGAACTTATATTATTTATGTATCTTTAGAGCTAAAATTACAAATAAAGCAATACTATGACATTTTGCATGCTTGATAAAAGTCATAAAAATTCTTTGAAACAACTTTGAATAGGTAGTCAAATAGGCTGTTTTTAAAACCATAATAGTTCAAACAAATTGAAAAATAAAAAGTATTTTTTAAATTGAAAAAAAAGAAGAAAAAAACTAATCTTTTTTTGGTCGAAAAAAAATGATTTATCTATGTTCAAATGCTGTATGAATATAAGAAACATCCTATACTCGAGCAAATTACTGTGTTATAACTTAATAGGTTTATTAGAAGGTTAGAAATCTTGTTAAAAAGGTGAAAAATTTTAATTGAGAAAAACATATTTTAAACAAAACTTTGAATAAATAACTTTAAACCAAATACTTGATTTTACAGACAATTTTCACTTTTCAGTTAGGGAATTTCAGCATTTTTGCTGCAACTGAAGAAGTTTTTTGAGTGTTATCTTATATTTGCTGTCAAATTGCTCTGAATAAAATAAATAAATTAGTTAAATGAAACTAGAAATTTGTTTGGAAAAACCCCCTAGACCTTTTAATATTACTTGGTAGGTTTATTTTAAAGTTACATGTAATATTTCCCCTTATTTAGTTTTCGCATTTCATTTAAGGCGTTGTACACTTTTATAATATTTTTCTAAATTGTTTTATTTGTTATTAATATATTTATAATTGCTATATTTTTTCTTTCAAGGCATCTCTTCAGATCACCGGTGAGAATTCAGCTTCTGATTTATGTGATAGTAATGTCAGTTCTATGAAGACAAGTAATCAACTCAGCTCTGATTCTGGTGTTAGTGTAACTTCCAACCAGCCTTCTTCACCTATTAATCAAAATTACCATTATAGTTCTGAGACTTTAAACTCTCATCTAACTAAAGATAAGACTCAGTTTCAAAATGAATTGCAGGAACTTTGCAGTGAAAAATTAGTTTTTCAAGAATTAGCACCTGAAAACAAAATTGAAAGAAATGAGGTTGAAAGTACTGAAGAGTTGCAAAATGAATTCTTAACAGTTTCTGAGCAAGAACAAGATAAAATTTCTACTGGATATAATAAATGTTTAAAAATCTGCACTTGTAAATGTCCCCTTCATTTATTAATACCATTACCTTCTATTAATTTCGTCGAAGAATATAAGGTGGTAGTACTGCTTTCTCATATTTCTCATCCCAATGAATTTTATGTGAATCTGGCAATGGAAAGTAGTATTACTTTAGATGAACTCTTTGAACAAATGTTTAATGTTTATTCTCCTCAAATGGCTCAAGATACTTATTCAATTCTACTAGATGACTTAAAAGTAGGCATGTTCTGTGCTGCATGGTTTAACGATGGAAATTGGTACCGAGTGAAAGTACTTGATATACATCAAAATGTAAGTATGACTACACATTTAAAATTTGTTTAGCAATGTGTGTTACTATGTGTCATAAAGCCACTTTAAAAACTAGCTAAGTATGATACAAATATTGTAAGTACTTAAAATAATTATTTTTGTATCCTCACAGTGAAGTTAGAACTGCAAGTATGAAGTGTAAACTATGAATGTCAGACTTAAAACTTTTTTAATATAAAGGCTTACAATTGAAAAAAGAACATTTATCCATTTTCTTAAATACACTTTTTGAGCTGTGTCAATTTTTTTAAATATGCATTTTGAGCTATGTCTAGCATTAAAGGCGCACTGGCAAAATGTTTCACCTTCTCGAGAATTGTAACTAAATAACTGTACTGAGATTTCGCTATAATGGTTCAGGGTTGATAAGACTAATCAAAATCCTTCAAGTTTACCAGATGTTCATCAAAGCTTTTTATCAAAGTGTTGAAAGATTAAAATGACTCATAATTTATGTTTTAATGTGCTGTAAATTTATAGTAAACTATTTTGGTTTTCATTTATGTGGTATTCTAAATTTTTTTAACTGTTAAATAAATTATTCTTGATTATTTTTCTTTGTTTACTTGTTTATGCCTTATTCGTTAAAAAAAAATAGTCCTTAAGCTGTTAATCAGTTTTAACTTCCCCCTCTGACCACATCTCTAATGGTTGAGAGGAAGGAGGCCTTCTAAGTGGTTAAATATGGAAAAATTGCAAAGTATATATTTATTATTTTTTTAAGCTTTTAATTTTTGTTTTTACTGTTTTGTTTTTAGTTTGATCAAAGTCACAACGTATTTGTGCAATATGTAGATTATGGTAACAAGGCTTGGGTCAAGAATACGGATTTAAGGTCATTAACACAGGAGTTTGCTAAATATCCCTCTCTTTCTATAAAATGTTCGCTGGCTGGCATTGTTCCTGCCAAGCCATGTGATTCGTATAATGATGAGACAGCTTGGTGGAATGAAGAAGCAGTGAACATGTTCAAGAGCATGATTAGTTATGAAAAGTGTTTTACTCTTGAGATCGAAGATCGAACAACTATATTTGAAGAGTATGTAATTTTTTTTTCTTTTTAAGCGTAATTTTGTATGAATATTTTATGAGTGAGCTTCCTGACCTGGAGTATTTGGAACATGCTCCAAGATGTTCTTACACTGCTTTTTGAAAACAGCCAAAATCGTTTTCAATCTTAAGAAAATAGTATGGATATCCCATCTTTCTCTTTTTTGTTAAAAGCAAATGATATCTTAAGTTAAAATGTTTTGAAAACAAACTTTTATACAAAATATTTATTAATGTTGCACATACTGTATTTTTTATTATAACCATTAAGATTTTTACTTGTTCATTTTATAAATATTTTTCTTGTGGTAATTAATTTCTGATTATTATTCAAAATATTGATCAAAGAATTTTAATTAAATAATAGAATAATGTTAATGATTCACGTTTATAGAACAATAATATCACATTTATAGAACAATAATGTCACACTATGAAATTGGATTGTTTGCAAAGTCAACTGTCAAACAATTCACTTTGTAAAAATTGAAGGAATTTGAGCGAGCTCCAAACGCTATGTGTCACGGAACTCACCCATTGTATCAATATTATTGATTTATTAATTTCTTGTAATCTGTAAGTTTTTATTTAATTTTATTTTTGGTTGTATTTTTATTCTCCTAGTTAAAAAAGATTTTATACTTTGTTATTTTAGAGTTCAAAATTTCATAATCGCCATTAGTATGGCATTGCATTACATTATTATGGCACTTGAATATATAATTTGCAAACTGGATGTGATAGGTTCTAATATCACTAAGACAACTCAGCTTTGTGCTTTTGCTGATGATATCGTCATTTTGAATAGAAGTAGAGTTGCTTTAATTTCCTTTACTAGTCATCTTATAAAAGCAGCAAATGAAATAATTCTTGTTATTAACAAACAAAAAACAAAGTTTATGACATTAACAAAATCTACCTCTATTTCATCAGCACTTGAGATTGATAACTATCTAGGTTCAATTATCAATGATACAACATATCAAAAATTTACTCCATACATTTGAAAGAATTAACTCCAGGAAGAAAAAAAAAGGAAATAAATGCTTTTACTTATATTAATATTTATTCAAGAACAAACTTCTTACTAAGGAAATCAAGTAAAAGATCTATAGAACAGTTAACAGACCTATAGTTACATATGGCAGATAAACTTGAACTCTAACATAACAAATAAAGATGAATCTATTCTAATTATCTTCAAAAGGAAAATTTTGAGAATAATTTTCAGATCAATTAAAGTAAATAATACTCAGTGGTAAATTAGAGACAGTCGTGAACTTGACCTTTTCATCAGACAAAAAAAAATTTAACTTGTTAAATCCAGATGTTTGGTGTGGTTGGGCGCATTGGAAGATAAAATTATAATAGAATTTCTCAAAAACTTTTAAAATTGAAATCTTTCACCTCAAAGCGAAGAGTGAGACTAAAAAAGAGATAATTAGACAATACCACTGAAGATCCTTGGAGGTAAAAAAAACTAGAAGTTAAATGCCGAAAATAATAAGGTTTGGAACAATATCGTTCAGTAGACCAAGGCTCACAGCGAGCTGTAGTGTTTTTAAAGTATCTTAACAATTATAAATTTCTTAATTTAGGGGAGAGGCTCACCTTGGGACACTTTTTTACTTTCTTTTAAATTTTGATTAATTATTGTCAAAATTTTACCTGGTATTCTTGCAACATTTGAAAATGTTTTTAATTAGGTTTTGATTTTGTATCTGCCATAGAAAAAATGTAAAAAATTTTTTAGTTACCTTGTTATTTGTCCCAAGATGCACCTCCTAGAGGGGCACCATTGGACAGTTAAACAGATGTGAAAAGTTAAGTAGAAATTTTCTAAAAATAGTATAACTAAATAAATTTACATTTTCTTATTTTGTTAGTTTCAAGTTCTTGTATGCAAATCCAATTGTTCAGAATCAAATTCCAAACCTAAAGAACGTTCTGAGCTTTGATCTGCTTACGTTTTTACAAAATGTCATTTGCATCTATGTATGATTTGTCTTCTTTTTTGGGATAAATAAATGTTGAATATTGATTCACTTTTCTCCAAAATTATAACTCTTGCTCGTCACCATCAACTTTTTCAACGCAACTTGCAAAAGTAATAACAGATCTTTTACCAGCAAATTTGAAATGAGCAAAATTTCCAACATGTTATCTTGTTTCACTACTTTTTTGTAGATGAACTTCTTTCTCCTCATTAAATATTTTTATGTTTCTTCAACTGTTCATTTCATCTAAGCTGCAAGCATCATCTCCACTGTTATCATTACATAAATCATTAATTACTGCTTTTCTTTCAGATGTATTTCCCACTAATTCTGAGAGCATAAAATCCTCATCTTCACTATTACTACTTAACTGAAGCTGTTTATTCACTTTTTTGCCTTTTCATGCATTGTTTTCTTTTCCTTGAAAGTCCTTTTTATTTTTAAAAGCATCATCAAGAGCCTTTTTGTTCAAGTGTGTATAAATCGCAAATTTTCCTCCTTTTCGTCCCATTTTTTTCCCCGAGGTGCTGGTCTCACATATGAAATGTGTTGACCAACCACTAGGATTTGCAGCCCCAATGGTACAAGGGGGTGCCCCTTTTAACATATGATGTTTACAGGGTTCCCGCGGCCTTGAAAAACCCTTGAAAAGTACTTGAATTTCATTTTGATTTTCAAGGGCCCCTAGAAGTACTTGAAAATGATAATAAATCCTTGAAAAATTCAAAATTACCTTGAAAGGTATCGAAAACTCAGGAAAACAGACCTATTTCTAGCATTTCTGTGTTTAACTTATGACGCGCGTAAGTGTGAGAGAACGACTTTCCCTCCTTTCAGATGATGACACGTAGTGTTTGATTTTAGGATTTTATGTATGTTCGGCTGATTTCAGGAATTTTAAATATTGGGAACTGCTCCAGATTCTGACAAAATCTCTATTCTTATTCAGGCGATTTTAATATTTCGTATTAAACTGATTTAAAAGTTATGTGTTTCGATTCGTTTTTGGGTGATTCAAAAATTGTACTCGCAATTCCCATTAAAGCAATTTGAAAATCAATATCGCGATTTTTGCTTAAGCGTTTTTAAACCCCAATGTCGTGATTAGTTTTCGCGTTTCAATGTCGCGATTTGAAAAATACTCGTTGCGATTCGTATTCATGTGACCATGTCGAGTGCGTATGATCGATGCTACTGAAAAAAAATTTATTCAAGTGTGAGTGGTTAATTAAAACAGTTAAAGTGACCAAAATTGTTAGTAAGAATCTATCAGAAGATATTGAGGTGAAAGTTGGCAACTGTTTTATTTTAAAATGGTTGACAGGTAATAAATTAAAATGATAATTGCGCTGCAACATCCAATAATTGATTAATTTTCTTTAATAGAAAAGTGGTCAAAATTTCAAAATTATATTTAAGAACAAGTTAAATTTCACTGTCTAAATGCTTCAGACACTTTAAATATTAAATAAAAATCTCCCGGCAGAGTTGTTTTTAAATATCTAATTGATATCACAGTATTATATAGAACATCCCCCTCACCCGTCCTCTGCCCGAATCTTTGTTTATTCAGAGGTTGTATACCTAGTTTAAAATAGGCCTTATGCAAAATTCAAATCCAATGTTTTTATGCATCATGAATTTTATTCTTGACTTGATGCCAATCACCCTTGCTTTTTTTATACTTAGATTACTTTCCGAAATCAAGAGAGAGCAATGTAAGTCTTATTTTTCAGTACTACTATTATCGTCTGACGTCTATCGTCAACAAACTATTATCGTCAAAACATTTTAGTTTAAAATGTTAAATTTTAGTCTATCTTCTACTGAAATTTTAAGTCCTTGAGAATTTTGCAATAAATCTTAAAAAGTCCTTGAAAAGTACTTGAATTTAATTTTGAAGTAGAGCATGAACCCTGTGTTTAAGAAACTTTCTTGATAAAATCAAAAGTGGTGGTACTGAATTACCAATGGCATTTATAGAAGAAATAATTGTTATAAGTTTACCATGCTCTCCTGATGTTACTTGCCATATCTGCTTTATTTCTTTTCCAGCAATAACCTATTTATGCCTGGGAAAAATAAGGCGTTTTCTTAAAAATGTAGACATTATAATATACTCTGCTAATATTTGTTAGTAAATTTATATGGGGAACTAAAAACGAAGTGCTTTGAAAACCATTTAATTTGTTTCCATTTAATTGGATGTTCAATTATTGATTTTTCAGAAATAACTTTGGTAATTGACTAATGTAGATATGAGTTGTTATAGCTATGTTTTGTCTATGTCAATTACATAAAAGTTTTGATTCTGTTATTCTAGAATTAAATCCATTGATGCTATGTTAATAATACAATCAAACCAAGTTTTCTGGCTATTTTATTCAACCTTTCAGGGCTGTGATCTCTTCAGGATGAATCTTGAGATTCTCCCTTCTCGACTCATTGTTTTTAATATAAAACGAGCTCAACAATAACAGCCCAAGGTCACTCAGATCTAATACAGTACTCTCATGTTACATCTTTCTTTTATGTGTAAAATCAGAGTTTGTAGGGCTGGGAAAGAGCTTCCCCCCCATCTGCTGGTCCTGAGGAGGTTAAATAAATTAAGTTATCTCTATTCTTCATGTATTTATTACTTTTATCAATCCTCATACAACATATTAATTATGATTTTTCTTTAGTGATCCTCTGCAGGTTCTTCTCTGGGATACACAAGGGGAAAAGGATGTTACTTTAAATCAAGCCCTTGTTGATAGTAAATTAGCTATGGTTGATTGTGCTGCAATAGAAAAATTGCTACAACAGCAAAGCAAGAAAAAACCTGGTAATGTTTTCTTTACAGTTCTTAATGAAAAAAATAAGAAAATGATTGATAAATACAAATTTAGGACAGTGAAGAAACCCATCCAATTTGGTTCTCTCTTAATTTCCTTTTAGGCATTTAAATTTATTTCAAAATTAAATAATTCATTTAATAATAAAAAAAATCTTTATTTTTTGTAAAATTAGGGATTAATCATAATCACTTTTCATAGCTTTAAATATGTTTAATTAATGTAGCTATTAGCAGAAAATGTATATTGATAATAATAAGAAAAATAATAACATGGCTTAACACACAATCTAATGAAATGTTGACAAATGACTGAGCAAAGTTACAAAAAAGCTGGATTTTTTTTCCTGAAAAAAGATTAAGTTTATATTAAAAAAAACCAACTTTATTTAAAATAGCAGGTCTTTATCGACTTTCTTTTAGATTTTTTCAAGTAAATCGTACGTGTATCACGTTCAGAGTAATTGTGCTCCGGAAAAAATCCGGAAATCCAGATTTTTCGATTTGAAAGTTTCCGCGAATCCGAAATCCAGAAGTTTCAAGAAATCATTGATCACATTTATAAATAAAAGTTCTTGTATATTTTATTTAAAAATATTAGAACTAGAATTTATTCTTGGCATCTCTTTCATTTGAAAATATTTTTTCTCATAGAATAATAAATGTGATTAGAGATAAAAGTAAACTTACACATAATTATTCATTTAAATTATGCTGCATATAAATTCATTTAGAACATCATATTTTGAAAATTTCAATAATTTAAATTTGTAAAGATATAAATTTTTGTAATGATTTTACTTAAGAAATTTTCAGGATTTTTGAGTTGGATCCACAATTACCCCTGTGTATTTAAATTAATTTTATTGGTGTTATTCAGTCAAAATAATGTAAGTAAAATATATTATATATGCTATTAGCAAAGTAATTGTATGCAATTAGCAAAGCATTGTAAGAATATTATGCTATTAGCTGGCTACTTATGTAGCGAAATGTAATACTTTATAAGTTTAATAGCTATAAAGTTTAAGTTAATAGCTATAAAGTTAAGTATCTGGTTAATAGCTTTATAAGTTATTAGTAGAGCCCGGATTTTGATGACCTAAAAAATCTCAACTAATGCCCTTAAAAAGTGCAAAAAATGCCCTAAAAAGGGCTAAAAATGCTCTTAAAAATGCAAAAATTGCGCAAAAAATGCCTTAAATAAAGTAAAAATATTGAATTAAAAAAATGTTTTGCTCTTTAAAATTATTATGAGTCATTTAAAAAATATAAAGCAATGCAATACTTGTTCTACGTTCATTAAAGTTTGAAAAATATGTTTTATATCCTAAAATAACAAAAAAAGGAAAATATATTGACACCAAAATATTTTTCTTTTGTAGAGAAACTTTGAGGGATATAACTCCCATCTCATAATATTACTAAATATCAGAATTACATTGGATTATAAATTTTTTTTTTGATAATTTGAAATGTAAACGTGCGTCTCTTGTATGAAAGTAAATTTTCATTCCTGCAGAAGCTTCTTTCAACGTCTACTGATGTTATAGGTGTGTACTTGAAAAAGACGGTCTCACTTACTGACAATTCTTCTTCAAGTTGAAAAGATTTTGCTTCACCTGTTAATATCCTATAGATTTTCTTCATTGTTTGGAAGCCAGTGTAATAATGAAAATTGATAAAAAATAATAAAAATTGGAAAAAATTAACCGAAAACTTTAAAAAATGCATTAAAATGCAAAATACGCCCCAAAATTTAAAGAAAAATGCCCTATAAATCTAAAAAAATGCTCTAAAAGACAAAAAATGTCCAAAAATGCAAAAAAATGCAAATGTTATCAAAATCCGGGCCTTAGTTATTAGTATTTTTTTATTATTAGTTTTACAAATCTAACCATAAAGAAGAATTTCAATGTATACTCTCAATTTAAAATAAAATTTAAAAATTAGAATTATATTTAGCTAAGCACAGAGGATTGTAGTGTTTATATAACCAAAATAAATTTAGGTTTGTACTAATTTAAATCTTTACTAGACCGATTAATTTTACTATTAAGAATATTTTTCTACTCAAATTTGCTTCTTTTTTAATGTTTAAGAAATTCAAATTCATTTTTTATATTTTTTTGGGGTATTTTTTTCATAAATAGATAAAATGTTATTATCTAGTAATGTAATTACTGTCAAATAGTTTTAAAGAAGAAAAAAATAAAACCATACTTATAAATTTTTTTCACCAAAATTATTTGACCACTGTCACTCAACTTTTTATCATTTAACACTTTACATTATTTAGGGTAGTGTATCAAATTTGACATTTTCTAATAATAAAAAAAAAACTTGATTTATAATTAAATTAGATAAAGAATTTTCATTTTTGCATGAAATTATCATTAAGCAAGCTTGTTTCATAAATGCTTACTTATTTGTCTTGGACAATTAGTTACTTAAATGAACAAAAAATAAAATCAAACTTTCGACATTTCTTGGAAGATTGTGTTATAGGCAAGAATGTTATAGGCAAGTATGTCTCGGAACCATTTTTTTTTTCAAGATTGCAGTTGCTTCCCATATTTTAAAATTCTGAATATGTCTAAATAAAAAGTATTTTTAATCATAGGAGTTTCTAATTTGTTATTAGTATTTAAGTTGGGCCCTCTCAACTCAAGTAGATTGGTATTTTAATTTATAAAATTTGGATTAATTAATCAAAAGTTATTCTGGCCCTCTCTTTTCTTACTTTTTTTTTTAGAATCATATACTTTACCAATCCCTATGCTAAAACTTTTTTATAATAAATTTTTTTTCTCTCTGTCAAGATGTTGAGATTCTTAGTAATTGGAACCCTATGTTTGAAGAATATAACGATATACAAAACAGCTATGGAGTTAATTTTGATGACTTTCAAGTTGCAACAGATGGATATAGTATGTATCAGTTATTCAATTTTTAATGTCATTAGTTATTTTAGGATGTACAATTTAATTGGTGAATTCTCAGTAAGATTGCTTTGATGTCTTCATTCGAGCAGATAAACAAGCACTAAAATTTCTATTTATTCAAATATTTTTATGGGTAGAGTATGATACAAGAAGTTACATACGTAATAAAATCTTAGATTATATAATTAATTATTTAATTTGATATTGATGATGTACTGACAATGTTTGTTTAAAAAGTACATCGGTACCTATAAATTTCTTGCTTTAAAGCTCTAAATTAAGATTTTTATATTTTTTTTTATTTACCTAATTGTAATATATTTTGATTTAGTTTAATGAAGGTTTTGAATCCTCATTTAGTAAAACAGAACTTGATTTGAAATCTGATATTAGTTTTTTCCTTTCACAAATGTCTAAATAATTTTAAAATTAGTTGCAATGACTGAAACAAATAAATTTCATTCTCCATTGTAGATTTATTTTTTTCTTATATGTTTCCTTCATGTAAAAATCTCCTTAATTTTTAGTTTGAAATTTTGGCAATGAAATGCTGATTTATAAAGTTAATGTTTCATTTTGCAATATGTTTTGAATGCCATCTGGGGAGTGCATTGTGAAATTGAGTAGTGCTTTTTTTGATTTTTGTAAAAAATTTTACTAATCTCACTAGTGCTATGCTTTCAAAGTGCTATATTTTTTTTCACGGTTATGCATTATGACTTATTATCAACATTAATCATTTAAAACATTATTTTAATAATTTAAAACATTTTAATTATTTAAAAAGTTTTCTAGTAAATTTTTATTTTGTTTCTTCTGCTTTTCATTGTTATACTAATACAGTAGGGAACCGATTATCCGGAACGATCGGGACCATCGCTATTCCGGATAACTGATTTTTCCGGTTTTCTGAATCGCTACAAAAAGCCGTTTTTTTTTATTGTTAAACCCAACTGAAAAAAAAAAAAAATTTGGAAATAATCTTAAAAAGAAGAAAAAACGATGAAGTAATACACTAAAGATTATTTCCAAAATGATGGGAAGGTAAACATCTTTCAAAAGAGAAAGAAAAATCTTAAAATCTTATGAGGAAAATTTTTTTTTTTTTTAAATGGCGAGAAAATTTATTGAAATTCGCTCCGGTTTTTTGGTTTTCCGGTTTTCTGATTTCCGGATAACGGGTTCTGTACTGTACTACAATATAATAAAGGTTACTTTAGATTGTATTTCATAATGATTTTTATATATGAGTCTTATTGTAAATTAACATTATTATATTTCTACTAACACGAGTATCTTCTTGCTTTGCTGTTTCATGCGAGTGACCAATGTTTGAATCATAGCTTCAATTGGTTTGAATTCCTATTCCGTTCTGTATTGCTAACTCCACTGAAGTAATGTAAAGCATAACCACAACTCAATTTACTTAAATCTTAGAAATTCGTTTGAAATCTAAATGTATTATTATTTAATATCCTCCAAGCATTGAGTCTCTGCATTATTTCCTTATCTTTAAGTTTGGAAAAAGCTGAAACTAACTCTCAGAGAGTTTATTATTAATAGTTACCAACTCGGTATATGCATTATAGTATATGAGAACTTTTTGTAGAGCTTACCTACATTTGCGTTACAGTCATAAAAAGAGCCCATAATTATGAAAATTATCAAAGATTATTGCTTCCAAAATTATTACTTGAAGTTTAAATTTAATTTGATATCCTTTGAAGGTAACAAGGGGAAAATAATGTATTTAAAAATATGATATATGTAATAACGTAATAGGGTTTTCACTATTCGTTTTCTATTAATTGATTTCTTTTTCTCTAAACCAACTTAATTTACTTCTAAAAGTAATTTTGAGAAACAAATTTTATCCATTTTTCCATATTCCAGAGACAGTGATGTTATACTTCATATATATTAGTTGTCTTCAAAAGGGCATCCATATAGATTTAAGGCATAGATAAAGTTTTAATAGTTTCATTTTAGTGCAAATGTAAATTAGTATTACCCTTGGCTAGGAGGTCAATATCTCGTGGTTCTTGACTCTTTTTGTTTTCTGAAAAAGAATAAAAAAATATGAGGTCGAATGCACTTCGAATATTCTAATGGAGAAAAAAATTATTTGTTAAGAAGCTTATTTTAAGTTTTTCTCCCTAGAATACAGAGATGAACAGTATATTTGCAAATATTATTCTCTTCGTGGCGGCTATTGTCCTCGTAATCCCTGTCCTTATCTACATGTCCCTTTAGCTCAAGGTGGTAAGTATTTTTTTTTAATATGTACTTGTAACGTTTTGTAAATTGTTATTTGATGTAATCTATTCTACAAAATATGTGATATTATATATTCAAAAACAAAATCATTTTATTTTTAATAGTTTTTTTGAAATTTTTAGCTTTAGCCCTTCCATTAATCTTATAAGCTATTTTTATTGTAAATTTGATTTAGTGTGAAAAGAGTAAATTCAAGTACTATCCAAGCATTTTTACTTGAACTAAAGTAGGGTAGAATTTTCCATGCTATATTCTACTTTAAAGAGTAATGTGGCTAATGTGTCTAAATGCTTTCCTTAATTTTTAGTATATATTTATAGTTCTATTATTTTAAACTGATACAACTACTTTTGAAATGTGCTATACTTCATAATATTTAGGATAATTTAGATCTTAAAAATATATTTATACCATTTTTTACACTTTTTTAATTAGAATTTTTGTAGTAGTGGCAACACAAAAATTTATTTTACTATTGAAAGCTGAAATTATTTTAACAGTGCAAACATTTAATATTTTTAAAAAAATATTGAAATCAGTTTTATAATTTTGCTTTAACTATTTATGTGTAGTGGTTATCAAAATCAATATGAATCACCTTTGTTAAAAAGATTAAAATATTAACGAATACATTTTGTTAGATAATGAATAAAAATTGATTAAACAGTCATGCATTTAACTTAAAAGTAACTCTTAAAATATGTTTATATTTGATGTGTTGCAATGGTAACTAAAAATTAGCTTTCAATCAGAAGAACTTATATTGCAATTCAACAAATTGAAGTTTAAAAACATTTAATAAAATGGTATATTATTATTTATGTTGCAATTAGGAGTCACTAGAGACCAAGATGAACTTTATTCTTTTAATTGCCTTCCACCTTTGCCTGAAGATGGAAGTTCTTTTCTGATTCAAGTATCTGCTGTGAAAAGTCCTAGTTTTTTTTATGTACAGTTACCGTTTGGGAATCTGTCTGTAGATGAACTCGATTCACGTATAAATCAAGGTAATTATTCGATGCAAATGTTGCTACTGATAATTAAAATTATGTATATAAGTAATGTGGAAAGTAAGTTTAGTTTTCTTTTTTCATTACAAAATAGTTGCTTTAATAATTCTTGTTGAGTCACTGGCAAGCAAGGTGAGACTTTTTCAGATCTCATATTTGTGTGGCACTTGTTTGGTGAGAGTTAAAAATGGAGCATTTTACCATGCTAATACGGCTGATCACCCGATTTTTAATGGGAGTAACACCAAAACTTGCTAGATATGGTCGCTCTACCACTCTCTCAATGGGAAGAAAACTAAAACTGATAGATGTGGTCAAACATCCAATTTCTCACTGTGAGGAACACCAAAACTTATGAAATTCATAAGGAAATTCATGAAATTTAAGAACACAATGGGATGAATAATTTCATAGTCAGAAATTGGGTGCTGCAAATTAATGAATGAAAGTATTCACACATCATTTTTGACCACCTTAAATATCACACCAAATGACTAATCTTTTTAAACATTTAAAGTCCTTTCTTGATTGCAAGCAGCTTCGGAACGACGAGTTCAGATCCGTAGTTGCACAATAGTTGATATTGCAAGCAGTATTATTCTTTGCCATCCAAATACTTCTGCCCAGCTAAAATAATTGTCTAAACAATGGTATCTATGTTCAAAATTAGTCTAACAATTATTTGATGAATCTTTAGTTTTGTGAGGATTAATTAATTGAGGATTGTGTTGCTTAAGGGAACATATTTTTTGAGTTATCTCTGCATTAAACTTACTAAGTTAATGCATCATTTGTAAAATATTTTAGTAATTTATACTTTCACCATAATTATCATTTTATATCATAATCGTACTTAGTTGTACCTAACTAATATAATAATCTTCATTATGATTAATTTTATGTGGGCATCTTTGAAGCTTGAAAAGAATTTTTCTCTATTTGCTTTATGAGATGATCATGATAGCCTGGATATAATTAGGATAATAGCTATAATCTTATTAAGCAAAACATGCGTTTCTTCCTGAGATGCGAGCTTTATAAAGTATCAGCCCATTGATTAATTATATTGTATAGTAGAATTAGGAAGGAATTTTGTTTTTCTTTTTTAATACACTTAGTAAAGCCTGAGAGAGAACAAGTTTTAAGAAATATAGTTTATATTCAATAATTTAATTTCTAGCAGTTTAAAACTTATAGTAAAATTGTTTTAGCACATGTATCTATGCAATTTGTGTATTTATACATTTCATGTATGCAACAATCTTATATCATGCGCCTGTTTCTTCATTTCAGTATATTCAGCAACAGATCTTATAGAGTGTAATTTTTTAGTTTCAGAATTATTGATTCAGTTGATTATAAAAATGATAGATTCCAATCAACAATACAGTAATTATATCATAGAATTTTTAAATGTTGATTTGAATTTTCATTCCCTAAATTACTTTTGTATAAAAATATTAAACTTTATATTTACTGTTTTCCTTTGGAGACTATTGAAACCTTTCTTTAAAAATATTTGATTAATGTCTTAAATTCGATTACAGATTTAGATAAATTTTAGTGTGAGGGAATATTAACTAATTGTAATTTGTATTTTTTTAATGCAACAGTTTTATAAAAGATTTCTTTATATATTAATCTCAAACTATTATTGGTTGTTAACTGTTTCATTAAATTGTACTGGAAACTTTTACAACCTTCTGTTCTTGACAAAGTAATTCTGAAATTTTATGTGATAAATTTGACCTTTTTTTGCTCTTAGAAATTACTTGAAATTATTTCTTACAATTCATAGAATATTCTGTAGCTAATTTATAATGAGTGAAATTGGTACCATGAGCCATAAGTTTCCTTGTAATTACTTGAGAAAAGTCCTCATAACATTCTGCACCTTTTGTATGTTAGTTAAGTGATTACTTAATATTTCATACAATTCATGGAATATTCTATAAATAGTATATGTGGTAAATTTGGCTTCTTTTGCTATTAGATACTTATTAGCTTTAGTAATCGATCATATTTTGTAATTTACATTAGATTGCTACAATTATACATTAATGAGTTAAGTTATGAGTTCAAAATATTTTCAATAAAAGGCATTAATTGTTTTGAAAACTATGAAACTGAATGAGTATGAACAATTTTTATAACTCTGTTAATTGTTTTTACAGTTCTTTATAACTATTAAATTTTTCAGAATAGATAACTATCTGTCTGTGTCTGATATATATTTTAGATTTCAGCTTGCATGTATAAGTTATATTCACTAATTTCAAATTCTTCATTAGGTGTTCCCCGTGAAAGTCTACAAAATCAAGAAATGAACCATCTTTTTAATGCTTTAAAGTGAGTAGAAACTTTGTAAATCTTTACCACATACTAAAAAAAAATTTTTTTGAAGATTTTCTGTTCTCCCAGGCAGCTACGTGAATATAATTGTTTAAATTTTTATATAAATGATGAATTATCCTTTAGATCTGAAAATAAATAATATATTATATGAAAAAACTATATTTTGGAAAGTAAATTAATTATTTTTTTGGATCATATCTATCTTTATTCACTTTTATGCAACCTGGTTGGATAAAACCAGGTATAAATTAAAATAAGGGAAAGGGTTATTTTTTTAAAACTGATTTAAGTATTTTTTTAGAATTAAATTATATCAAATACCTTTTTCATTTATCAAAGAACTTTTAGTAAATTAAGTCAGTTAATCAGATTTAGGAGCAGAAGTTACTAATAGAGCTTTGTTCATGCTTCTTTAAAACTGAGACACATCATACAACCAACCTGAGATATGAGCTTAGTCTTTTGTTCTACTTAGGTACAAATGGAGAATATTTCTAGAATATTTCTATTTTCATTCATCATGAAAAATCAGGAATATTTGACCTTTTTTTAAAATTTGAAACTGATAAAAGACATTTAATGTTCATTTTTTTTTTGTTTTGTTTCATTTGCCTGCAAAGTACCTGTGGTAATGAATTTCACTTGAAGAAACTTCAAGCAAATTATATTTATTTCTTCCTTTAAAATGAAAGGATTTTATTTTAATATCATCTGCAAGTTTATTCTTTCTTTCTGATTTCTGTATTGGGTTTAGTAAAAAAATTTATTTTTTCTCTTTTTGGGCAAAGCTAATGTATGGTTGCATAAAGTTCAAATTAAATTTAAACAATATAAAGTGTTTATGTATAACTATATTTTATTTAATATTTGTAAATTGTGCTAAATGTATGTTTGGTTAAGCTTAATTTTAACAATAATAGTCTTTGCCTGACTGTGTTAAAGGCGCAGACAAATTTGAATTTTTGAAAATAGTGCTGCAGATTGACTCTTTAAGTCTGATAGAAAGGGTCGCAGATTTATCCTACTACAATGTCAATTAATGGAAAAGAAGTCATAATATATGTGACAAATAGATTTAACAATTAAAAATAATAGCTAAAAGAAGTGTATCAGATGTTGAACAACAAAAGATAATATAAATATATATAAATTATAGAGGAGTATCAAAATAATAGCAATTGACATTTTTCCAAACACTTTCATACATAGCCATTGAGAAATGGCCTAGGTATTATATATTTTTACATAAATTATTGCTTTACTATTTTTATTTATTAGTTTATTTTTTTACTGTAGTTTACTTTTTACCACATATTTTTTTGTTATTGCTCAAGTAAGAAGAACAATGTTCAGAAATATATGGCTAAATTATTTCTCATTGCAGTTTATTTAAAGTTAAAATGTCTTAATTGATGACAAATTTGCATAAATTTTCTCTTATCTATGTTAAATCATGCTACAACGTATTTCTCAACAAAAATACCTGTGGACGCTCTTGACATTTAACAAATTTCTAAGGAAATAATGGATAGATGGAATGTAGCTTAACACTTTCATTGTGACAATGACATGTCTTTGTCCCACCCTCTGCGCTTAGTGTTCCCTCGTAACCCTAAACTTGAAATAAAACGCAAATTCCTTTATAAATTAATTAGTTTACTTTAAAAAATAGTAATCAATAACCATATTCACTAATACAACAATAGAGTACAACGAATATTCATGGAAGACGAGTTCCCTTCCCACTCCCACTGTGAAGAAAAATTTTATGTATATTATGAATAAATAAAAATTCAGTCATAGATTTAGATTCGGTCACATAAGACTTTAAGAAGCCAGTCAAAAATTTTAAGCAAAAAATAGATTTTTTTAAAACACCAGTAACTACATTTACTGTATACATAATGAAGAGGTTTGAATGTTGATGAGGGGAAAAATCTAAAAAAATACTTTTTTAAAATTAGTTTGTATCCTTATATTCATATTTAAAATTGCATTTTTAAAACCTTCCCTATAAAGGAGCAATGAGCACTAATATGCTAAAATTTGTGAGTGTGTAAAAAGTTAAGAATTTTTGTTACTTGAATGAAACTGATTTCAAGTGTTAAATAGTAGTAATAGTTCTCAATGTTCTAAATAGTTTTGTTTATTTGCAGTGAACATTATACTAACAAACCATTTGATGAAACAACAACAATAGGATTAGCATTCGGTAGCATTGTTGTTGCTAGACGTCTATATGATCAAACATGGCATAGAGCTAGGATTATTGATGGACAGGATATTAATAAGCCTACAAAGGTATTATATTTTTAAAATCCTATTCTAAAAACTAACTTTTTACCCAAAGAATTATTTTTAATTTCTCAGATCTTAAATGTTTAATTTGGTATTATGAGCAATTTTATGAGTAATGATTTTGTTTCAAACTTTTTTGATTTCTGAAATTTATTAAGGATGTCTTTTTTTTTTTTTTTTTGCCAAGGTGTTCTATGTTGATTTTGGAAATGAAGAATGGGTTGATCGAAGAAATATTCGCCGAATTTTGCCCGAATTTTTACACACCCCATTTCAAGCTATAGAATGCTGTTTATATGATGTTGAACCTCTTGGGTTTGAAAAAGGAAAGAAATGGAGTTCTTATGCCGTGTAAGTGATTTTTTTTCTCCATCTATAGGATAATACATAAAATAAACTGACTAGAAGGAGTTATTATTTGATCTCTAGTTTCCTGTTAGTAAATTTTTAAACAATGGATTTATATCTTGATATGTCAGAAAAGCAAAAAAACAAAATTGGTATTCACATTGAGTTTAAGATGTGAGCCTTAGTTTGTACATATACCCAGATTCTAATTTCATCTCTAACACATCTAATTATCTGATCACTACCAAAATAAAAATCAGCAGGTGGGTAGATCCTAGTTAAGTGTTACTTTTAAAATTTTATAAATTTTTTTTTTCATGGAAACTAAAATTTCTATACTTAATATTTTTATTAACCAATAGACCTAACTCTGATTAGAGATTTATTTATTTATATGGCTAAAATATGCTTTAATTCTAGTTTTATTTTTAAAGCGTGGAATTCAAGTTGCGCTATCAGCCTTTTTTTACACCATTGTCAACACCTAATACCTTTCTATTTATTTACACGATTTGTACTTCTTTGTTTTGGTTAGCTAACTTCTATGTGTGGATCTTAATTATAAGGATTTACTTAATGCTATGCATATAGGAGGGTTTTATGTTACATTTCATATTTTAGCTAATTGTTTAAAAAATGTAATAATTTTTTTAAAATATTATTTCAGGAGCTGTTTTAAGGATTTGGTGTCTGAAACTATAATGCTAGCCCATGTTGCTTATAAGTAAGTGCTCCAAGAGTCTTGCATTCCCCAATATAAATTATTCTTGTACAATATTAAAAACGTTATAAGTAACAGGGGGTCGCGTAAATGTTGCAACTTCTAGGAGTTAGGGCTCGTAATCAGGATTAAAATTGCATAGGAACCCATTGTACATGACTAGGACAGGAGTGGCGCTTCATTCTTATGACCTGTGTAGAAGCCCTCAAAGAAACAGTTAATAATATTGTCATATGTCTCTCCTAGTGACATTTCTGGGCAGTTTTAATCCTGATGATGTGCCCTTTCTTAAAAGTTTGGCGCAACAGAGATAGTATGTCTTAGGGTAAGAAGTTTGGCCCTGGTATATAAAACATTTTTAAAACTTATTTAGACTAAAAATGTCATTTAAAAAAATTGGAAGCTTGAAGAGAGAAAACAATTGTAGATTTGGAATCAGCTATACAAAAAGATCTAAGACCCGTTAAAAATCTCTTACATCAGAAAAAAAGTTGCTCCCTAGTGTTATCATTTCGTTAAAATGATGTATATTTCAGCACTTTGACGTTAGATCACTACCACCAAGCAAAGAATGTAAGAGGAGTCCGGTTTACTCTGACATCTCTCTTAACCCTTTCGCGACAAGTTTTTTTTTTTACAATAGAACAATTTTGGTAGCATAAACTATGAGTGGGGCAGCATTACGGACGGTAGTGCCATCTATGATCTGTGAATGAAAATACCTTCAAAAATATTGGCAGGACTGGTGGGAAAGTCTCCCATTAGACAGAGAAGTTAGTTTCTGTCCCAAAAGATTTTTTTGAAATTTGCTTGGGAGGTATGTGTCCCGTAAGGCGCGAAAGGGTTAAACTAATGTAATTTATTTTGTATTAAACCAATTATCAGCATTCTTTATCTATTCAAAATCAGCCATTTCTGCCTCAAGTGCACCATCCGAAAAGTCTTATATCCATTTATTATCACTACTGCGGCACCATCTATGGGTCATTTTTTTATGCTAATCTAGTATCTGCTACTCCAATTCAAATCAATAAATGATCTGCATGTCCATCTGAATGAAAAAGGTTTGATAACAAACTTGTATTTATAAAACTAATATATCAGTTATCAGCAAAATTTAAAATAAATATTTAGAGCTTTATTGCTCTGCAGAACTTAGAGGTGAGATAACCATACATTTTTGTTATCTTATGTGTAAGTTATTTTATGACATCGCAATTCTTGCAAAGATTTAAATGAGAGCTGTTTCTTTTGTCTTTAAATATTTGATTATAGTTTTAATTTTTTTTCCCTTCTAGATCCAATGATACCTTACAAATCAGTTTAAGAAGAACAACACAAAATGATCACCTGACAATCAAAGAACATCTTATTAGGGAAGGATTTGGACAAGAAAAATTATTAATAAAAACAAATAAGCCATCATCTAAATACATCCCTGGTTAATATTTTTTTAAAATTTTCAAACCTTGTATATTAAGCTTCTCAAAAGTGCCTAACATGCCTTTTGTGTTAAGATATTTGTTGTGATAATAGAATATATACATAATACTCATAAAATAAAACTATTAAGTTTTTTTGTTTTCTAAGAGTCTGTTTTATTTTATGTCAAGGAAAAACATATCTATTATATTATATATAATTTTTTCGAATAATACCAAAATAATTTTACATCAGAATGTGAAATCTTTCGACCGAGTGGGGAAGTAAAACACAGTTATAAGCCAACATTGCAAATGAGGTCGTCGTGTGTCCTAGGGTAAGAAAGAAGTGGCCGCAAAAAGTTTATTCTACTAACATTTTTTATGATGGTTCCACTAATGATTAAACTCTTTAAATAGAAAAGAGGTGGTGGAAATTTCATTAAGGTATTCTAAGAAAAAAAACTTCTGTGATAAAGTTTTAACAATAAACAAGACCCTATGTTTCCTTCACTCGAACTTTAAATAAAATTTTGAGATGGAAAAATCCTCTAGATACCTCCCCCCCCCCAGCCTGTACTTTAAATTTATCATGTTCTGGTCAAATAATTTAAAAAATTAAACCTTGCCTGTAATTTTTGGAGATCTAGGTAGTATAAGTTTTCACAATCAACTATAAATAAAGACAAACAATTTAAGGTATTTACAATTTAATTTTAATAATTTTTGGTTACATTCTTTTAATAACAAACAAGAACTGTAAAATAATTTATTGCACACACATTTTAAAATAATACATTCAACAGGCTAGCACATTGATTATGTATACATTTTTGTATATATCTTATTGTTTATAAATTTCTGTACAGAACGATACTTGTATGATAGCTGGCCTGCAGGAGGAGGGAAGAAATAATTGATTGCAGCAACGCAAGAGAAAGCAACAAATTATACAATTGCTATTAAAAGGTGTAAAATGTAAAAATATAAAATTCAATATTCTAATAGAAAAATATACATCTAAAGAAAGAAAGGTTTACCTGCAACCTTATTTTCTTTATAATAAAAAAGATGGAATGGATTAAGAATTCTATATGTTATTTCCTTAGACTTCTGTTTACTTAAAAATTAAATTGAATTAAAAAAGTTAATTAAATTAATTTATTTAAACTTATAAACATTCCGAAAGAGAAATATATTGAGTATCAAAAAGGGTGAAGCAGGTATAAGTAAAGTTAACAATACAGTTTTAATTTAAATTAATTCATTTTTTTATTAATAAAAAGTTAATCATGAACATGCAGAGAAGTTAGTGCACTTAATTTTTATTTTGATAAAGAAATCTATTAATTTTGTCAACTAAGCTTGATATAAGTTTTATATAATATATAAGTTTTTCAAACTTAAGTAGTTCTGAATAAATTTTTATTTTATTGAATATTTTGTAACGAATATTAATAATTACTTACAAAATAAAGTTTCATCCTTAGCTAATAGACTAGAAATTTTTTTTCAGATTCCACTTTTAGAGAAAGAGGTCTAGTTCAGTCGAACTTAATAGTAACTGCTTAAAATAATATTTTACTTCAAAATGTACAAAAAAAAAAGAGTAAACATTTTCACAAGCACAATTTCATGTCCAAAATTGTATACATCATAAAAAATAAAGCATTTTTAAGAAATACAGCAATCAAATGGCAAATCACATAATAACAAGTAACAAATTTCTAACAATCAACAAAAAACACTTAATTCATAACAATATCAAAATTAAATAAATAAGCATAAAAAGTCATGCATTACTCCAGAACACGGCATTAGAATTGCTATCAATAAATAATAAATTAACAAAATCTTTTCAGCTTAGAAAAACAACAATGGAATGTTTACATCTTAATACAAGCAACTTTGCAATAAATTAAATAAAGTGCAGAAAAGATTCCATTGATGATTTAAATCTAACGTAACTATAAAAAAGCAGTTAAAAATTATTACATTATTTCTTATAAAAGTTTTTTTTTTTTACAAAATAGTAATTAAAGTTAAGCAGAAATGGACCTAAAAGCCGATACTAATTTGATTGTTTCAGCATAAAATGAATTAATATTTACTGAATTTTAAAGATGACAATGACAAAAAATAAGTATGAATGAATAAGTTTATTTTATGACTAGGAGTAATGTGGAAAAAAAGTGATTGTAAACACATCAAACACATACATAAAAACATTGCAATATGTCTAAAAAACTGAGAGCTAATTATAATCATTTAGCATTAATTAATATTTTCAATTAAAAAAGTATCTGAATTGAATATTTAAAATAATATGCGTTTTGGTACTACAATGACAAAATCTTTTTAATTAATAGAGTATGCATAGCTGCTCTTAAATATTCCATTTGTTAAGGGGCAAATTTTAAAATTTTTGAATTAATCAAATAGTAAAAAAAAAAAGTTTTTAACATAAATTATTTTGAATAATTATAAATGAAGCTATATTACACAAGAAATAGGTACAAGTTTAATTTTTAAATGTGATAAATTATATTTAAATAAATATATAGCACATGTAACAAAAAGTGAAGTAATAAATAATCAAGTGATTTATAACTATTTTTACTAATGACACTCAAGAGTCAAAATACACACTATTACTTTTAATAATGTGCCTTTTAATATGAAGTGCAATTAAAAAAAAAAGCATATTGGGGCAGTTAAAAGTAAAACAACTGTTTGAATGGTTAATGAAATATATATTTTATAAAATATATAGATTAAGTCATGCGATGCAACTTAATTTTGAAAAAAAAAATCATTAAACATGGTTCATAACTATTTTTACTAAAATGACATTTTGAGTCAAAATACACATTATGTTTAATAACGTGTATTCTAATACAAAGTGTATTATAAAAGTAAAGTATTTTAGGTAAATTAAGTTAATGAAATATATATAAGCTGTGAATATATTTAATTACAAGAAAAAGTATTTTTCTTTTATATATATATATATATAAAAAATTATAAAATATGATGTAAGTTTAAGTCATGATGCAACTAAAATTAAATTTTAAGTATAGTTATGGAAAACCCTATATTGCTTTTAATCATCCAACATTTCAATTAAAAAAAACGTATTTTTCTCTTTTGGCACATCCAACATAAAATGAAACAACAAAATTACAGATCTCACAGGACACTATTTTGAAACTGTAACAGTTTATAACAACCTGTATTGGTCTAATGCTATCAAAATTGATATGCAATTACCAATAATATTTATTTATAACATGAGTTAAAATGAATAATTCAAACTTAATAAGTGTGAGAAAAAGAAGTATTTTATGCTTCATAAAACTGAGTTTCTGACTTCAAAAATCATCTACTGAAAAGATTTCTAGGAACTTCAGATTTAGTCCAAATTCACTTGAAAATATATTACCTATACAGCAAACTAAAAGAGGGTCGCAGTTGGACAATAAGAAATAAAACTATCACTGAGGGTTATTTTTAATTTGGCTTGGCGTGTGAGCTGAGTGGCCGGTCAGGAATGCGTGGTGGGATGAGTGGGACAGGCCGCCTATACAGAAATAAAAAAAAGACATACAACAATGAGATATTTATTTTAGAACACTGATCATATAGAGCAATATAACTAGATTCAGATACTGGAGTGTCTGACTTGCATCACATAAGAACGGTACTGTTAACTTTCCACATCTTTCACGATGCTTAACTATTTCAATTTTATTAGAGAAAGGAGGTGATTGTGATTCAATCTTACATCTCTTTCTTTTAATATATATGTGGCTACTGTTCTAATTATATCACCATAGATAAGGAAACTTAGCATATCTAAAAGCACATGGGTATCGGATATCTTTCGTATTAATTACTTAAAAACGGCAGTTCCATTTGAAAACCCTGTACACAGAATTATCATTGCATTATTCTAGAGGCAAACAAATGCATTAATAACAAACGGAGAATCGTACAAAAATTATAAGATGTCATGATCATATTAGATGTCAAACTTATGCAAAAGTCTTGACAAAATTAAATAGAATAGTAAATACTAATTTTCATTTTACAGCTTTTTAAATACACATAAATCTATTTCAAAGCATTTTGATAAATTCTTTTATCTAGATTTAAATACTTGTTTTAGGGTTGCACAATTTTTTTCGGAAGAAGGCAGTGAATTTAATATTTATATCAAATTATTTTTTTTATTGGCCCTTAGTAAAGTAAGGAAAATATGAATTTTGCTAAAAAAGAAAAAAAAAAGACAAATATAATATTTTTTAATCGGAAGAACAATTTAAATTTCGCATACTTTGTCTTTGATGAAGATAAATTGTTAAATTTTTAGCTTTATCCATAGGAAAAAGCAGATATACATTTTTTTAATTAGTAATAAAGCCTTTAATTATTAATTAATTTTTGTTGGAAGGCAGAGGATTGACCATTTAAGGGCAACAGGTTGTGCCTCTCTACTTTGAGATAAGGGGTAAAAATATACACAAGCATTTATTTAAAAACATTTACAGATGAAAATTGAGAAACAAAGCATGCAGTAAACTTTTTCAATTGTGTTTGAATTTATGCTAGCACTCTGTTCTTAACTTCTCATTTAATCAAAAATATGTCAAATTTTATATGAAAAAGCATTCTCATAGTGATAAATTTGAGAAAAGTGCATTAGTGACTCTTAAACAATTGTTTAAAAATTAATCTGAAGCACCTTAATTTTACGTGTTTACAATATAAAACTTCCAGCTACAGTACAGTGGACTTAATCTGTACAGCTGAGATTTGTTTTTCACTTATTATCTTTGTTATATTATTATTGAAAAATAACTGACATTCACTCACTTAAAAAGTCAGTAAATGAAAATATTAAATCTTTATATTTAACAATAGTTTTTAACAGCTTCGTGCAACATTTAACTAACATACAAAATTTTATTTAAACAAATGAAAACCGAAATCACTATGCTTGACACAAACAGTGATGTTCAAAAATACTTAGTTTTAAAAAATTAAACTTCTTTTTAGAAAGCTGAATTAAAATTTTCATTAAGTTTCTTTCAAGGTAAAGATTAATAGATTAAATGTAGCAAATTTTAAAACAGGAAAGAATTTAAATAAAAATTTACAAAATATAAAATTTTCAGTTTTTAAAAGTTTGTTATTTTTTCCTCCAAGCATTAATTACTTGTATAAATATTAATACACTTTTAAAACTATTTTTTTCTCATAGATATGGGGTAAGATAAGCATATTTTGACATCTAAACATAATCTCTATATTATGTATATATTATATATATATATTTATAACTGCAACTTTCTATACAAAAAGTATCTATCCCTTAGAAGTTTATTAACAAGATTTTCAAACGTTCAATTTCTGATATTACATTTAGCTACAGGTACACTAGTTTGCAACAACAATAAATATCACACATTCTGAAATTACATCAACTTTCGTGCTATTACACAAAAATTTTTCATTAAAAAAAGGCTTAAATTAAAATGTTTTGAAGTATGTCTAATGTAACCTTTAGTCATTAACTAGAGCTTTTTTTTTTTTTAGGTGAAATGACACGTGATTATTTACTATCAAAATATTTTTCTAAATGCACTAAAAAGTTGAAAAGATAGCAGAAATAATTTGCAATTAAAAATTCATTTCATGAAGCACAATGCCTAGATATTTTATAACATATTTTCATAATGACAGTATTCAATATGCTTCTGTATATTAAAGAGAGAGGCTTAAGTACTACAAGCAGCAATCCTTTAGCCAAAAATAATGATTTAAGAAAAAGAAAAAAGAATTAGTGTTTATGCTTGCATCTTTTGGGCTTATCAGGGCTCACCCTGTTGCAGTATCATATATAAAGACAACTGAAGCTTGCATTCATCTACCTAAATCTTACAATTTAAGTAAATTAAATGATCATTTGAAAATTTCCTGCTAAAAAGAAATAGCTCCAAATTTGATACTTTTCTTAAAAGAATCTAGACATAGGTATTTAAAAGAAAACTGAATAGAAAGGCAGTTTTTGTCTCAACTCTCAAGTGTTCATGTACGTAGAAAGTCAAATTGTGAGCTATTCTCTTTACATAGTAAAACCAGTTATTCCATGTTATGAGATACCAAACCAGTTTAGAAGAGAAACATTTACTTAAATTTGACCATTTACATACATTCACATAATCACCAAAGAGACAAAGGAACAGTATACTATACATTTAATATTTTGGAGTTAAATTCAATTCTATGAGGAAAATGGAAATTTCAGGCAATATGTCTCAGAAAATTATGAGTCATCTTGGTGAGATTTATTTTTTAGTGATTGCAAATGAGTAATATTTAGTTTATTTTAAATTTAAATATTTCATGTTAAGAAATTAAACAATTGGTGTATTTATGTAACCGTCATACACATTTTTAATGTTCAAAAAAAAAAAATTAGAATTCCTGAAAATATGATTTAATAGATAAAATTTCTTTCATTGGGATAACATTAGCATTAAAAAAAAACTGCTATATGATATGTGTTTCTCTTAAAGACAATAACAAACACTTAAAACTAAATTTATAGGAAATCAAAGCGTCGATTATTATTATTTTTAACTATTAGATTATAATTACAAACACACAAATAAGGAGCAATCTCTTCTTTTGCAGCAAATTCTTCATTCAGTGTATGATCATCTCTAACTTGCAAGCAAAATATTATTTTTAGATTTTTCCCCCCATTAATTAATTGATTAACTTTGTTGTATCATAACACAAAATAGGATGAAAATTTAGCCTCATCCTAATGTATAAATCAACAACCATTTGTGTTAATTCAAAATTAATTATTTTGTTGGGTCATTTCTCATATTTGGAATGAATATGAAGTACAACAGTGATATCAGAAACACTCAAATATTATTTAATGAGCACTCATGGACAACATCTAAGAGGGAGAAAATCCTCATTTTTCAAACCACAGAGCCCTGAAATAGCATCAAAAGTAGAAGACACACGGATAGAGACAGATAGGAGAGAGCAAGAGAGAGGCTACTGGAAGTGCTTGGTGTAGTCGGCAGTGGCTGGGGTGGCATCCCACTGAGTGCAACTCTTAGATTCGAGGAGGGATGGAAGGTGCATTTCCACTTGGGCTACGACTGCACACGCAAGATGAAAAAGGAAGAAAGAGAGAAGTGAGAAAAATAGAAAGATCAAAGTTAGAGGGTGAAAAAGTTATTAGTGCATTAAATACATTCACATACATAAATACAGAGAAACTTAGATAACTCAAAACAGTATGGGATAGTATCAATACACTTAAGTACTTCTTCTCCATTAATTTAGCATTTATACACAATTTTTTTTTCTTTATTGCAATTTGTACCTATTAACAAAATTAGTTGTTTGTTATTTTCTAAATAATACTAGTATTTTTATAATCACATTTGGTGAAGTGAGATTGGTACTTATTACTAAGGCCATAGAAAATCACCAAACTATGCTGATTTGCAACTATGATCACCAAACTATCACCAAAAGTGCTATTATTGATGCAACTATGCAAACTATGATCACCAAACTATCACCAAAAGTGCTATTATTGATGCCAAAAATATTTAACTAAACGTAATATTAAATATTACTGATATTCCCTTCATAGGTGCTGTGGAAATGAGAATCTTAATACAAAGGTAGCTACTATGCCATGCAATTGAAAAAGCAATGTAAGCGACAAAAAATTCAAAATTGAGATTTTTATATATTTGGCATCTACATGTCGGGAAAAAAAATTTCTAAAAATAAATTTTGTTTCATCAGTTTTTTGAAATTCTATTTTAGCCTTCATAGCATTAGCAATAGAAGGAGAAAAGTTGTCAAGCCACTTTTTTGGAATAAATCGTGAAGCACTTGAGTTTTTACAATTGCATGGCAATACTATGGTATTAGTTTCTTTTACTGCCCTTCGAAATGGGTAATTATCTTAATATCATCATGCATAATTTTTTTTTATGTTTTGTTATTTGTTATATAATCCATTGTGGCTTCATACTATTAGATTTATCATAATATGAGTTAGAAATTTTGCTCACCAAATGAAAGATAAACTATAACATTTAGTATCCTTTAACCTATGATATGCTGGATATACTAAAATTTTCTCAAGGCTTAATAGATAAAATCAATTTTATTTTATTAGCTCTTGTTGAGGTTCCATTATTTAAGCTTTGAATTCCATATACCTTGGCTCCCCTTAGCACCTGATCCCACATAATTTTTAAAACACCAATTCAATGACATTATCATGATATAATGATTTTACTTGTTATAACATAACACAAAAATAATCCATAAAATAAATAATCCTTATAAATGCGTGATTAGATAAATTTTTGATTTAGGAGAGCTGAAAGTAAGCAGTTTTTTCTTAATAAATCCTTTAGGATGTAGCGTGAGAACTAGTTCTCAAAGAGTGTTTTAAATTAATCGGTTGGGTCGTCTATGCCTTTGAACGAATACAAATTTGGTACAGATAAGTTACATACACACATACATATAAACATTGCACTTTATTTATACAGATTTAATTTTGAAGCACAGTTCAAAATATGTTAAAAGTTAGAAATTTTTACAGCAAAAAAACATATTTATTAAGAGAAATATTATTTTCAAAATATTTAGGCGAATATGAAATTAAATACAAAAAATAAATAAATATAAATATATTATTTAATTCATTGATTCTAACAATGTAGTACTAACCTTTAATTCAAATTTTTTAAAAGAAGTCTATTTTTTATCTCGTGATACTTACATACAGGAAATTCATTGAAACGTTTAAAAACACTTCATATTTGATTATTTTCAGATAATGGCTCATGCATACAGTAACAAGCACTTTTTAAGGTAAATAAATTTTTTCCTAGAAACTGTTCTGAACCAGAGTTATAAAAGGGATTGTAACACCAAGAGAAAAATAAAAGAATTTTAGGATTAATTTTACTAGAAAATTATAAAATGTTTTGCTCAATCACTGGCATTTCTATCATTAAAGTTTGCATAACTTTATAGCAACAGCATTTGTGAAAGTATAATAAAAAGAAAATATATACATAATAATTACAATAAAAGTTTATTGGTTAAATCAATAAATTAAATATCATTTCCAATGGGTAGTTGCGTCTCTGTGGCATATAATCTTGATGAAGGGAACAATTGTGATAATATTAAAAAAGAAAACTTTAGAAAAATACCAAATAAGGTAATAATTTTTTTTTTTTTTAAATTTACTTTATTTTAAACTTTGGAATATTATAATTAATTCAAGGATTCAATTCATTCTTCATTAGTTAGGACAAGCAATTTTATATTAGCAATTTTTTCTTTAGCAATTTTATGATTCTATGATTAAATAATTTAATCAGAAGACTTTTTTTCACTTAAACAAGTTCATTTCGTGTTACTCACATTACTTAGAAATACAAATGTACAGTGATCGTCTTTATCAGAAAGAAAGGAATGTTGCAGTGAAATCAATTCATATCGTTAAAATTTTTCAAAAAATATTTTTGATTGAACAGTAAAGCAAAATATGAAGTTAATAAATGGAATTAACTGAAAAATGTAGCTATTTACTAAGATATGTATGCATTAGATATTTGCAAAATAAATTTTCAAATATCAAGCATGCAACAAATAATAATGCGTATGGTTTTACATTTGCTAAATAGAGATTTGAAATTAGAATACATACGATGGTAGGATAGGTGGAGGCAAACTTCCGCCTCCAGGTCGAGGAGGTGCTGAAGGGGGATTCATCCGATTGGCCCCTGCCGGAGGTCCTGGTGGTTGACGATTACTGAGTGGAGGAGGTGGAGGTGCTCGCCCACCTGTGGGATTTCTCCGACTACCACCGGGAGAAGGCGAAGAAGGTCTAATCGAAGAAAAAAACAGGCATGAGATTGCAAAAAAGAAAAAGCAAGTGAAGTGTAAAAATTTAAAGCATATGTTTTAAAACAATTAATTCCTCTTTTATGAAACACTGTTAAGAAAGAAAACCTCAACAAATGTTTTGAAGTTTTATGCTCAAAACACTACTGGCATGAGGTACCCCAAACCAGTTGTTCTTTTTTTTTTTTTTAATTACTGCAGGTTCAGGAGTCTTTTTATAATTTTAAGATTTTGCAGGGAAATTTATACGTTTTATGCAAGCTTTTCTTCTTATTCTATACTTTAGCAGGGAAGATTCTATGCTTTATAAAGAGTGATCGTATATCCCAATTTGATTCATTAGTTTTACACTTATCAATATAACGACAGCATTCCACCTGTCGCTGACAATCCTCTCATCCACCATGCGATATTTTGGAGTCAAAATCACATGCTTGGTAATATACATGATTTAACGAAGCTTTAGATTTTTTGAAAAATGGCTATGTTTCAGAATAAGCTCCTTTATATTGTTGATCATGTTTTCAATTTGGCGAATTTTCCTTTTCAGCTAAACTTATCAAACGTATCACAACAAACTAATAAAAATGAAGAAACAACTTCGCCTCGCTAATGCTACTGTCGATTGATGGCCGCAATTAGTAATCAATGAAAATTTATATAGCTTTCTGTGAGCTTCATTACAATGGGAAACTTCTATAAAAACAGCTGATTGGTACGTGATTCAACCAGCCAATCATAATAAGAATGTCGTTGCAGCATTTGGATTGACATGTGTAATCATTTTTCTGAAGTTTTTTTTTAAATCAAAATTTCAACACTTTCCAGAGAAAATATGTGTTTGGTCAAAGTAATCAATTTTGTCGATTTTTATGGAGAAACTCCGGAGCAGTTAGCATGTATGCCCTTGTCACAACGTCCTTATTGGTGCAACTCTCTACTGAAGTTTAAACACAATAGTTTTAACTTTACCACCTTTTAACTTTACCTTAATAGTTTTAACTTTACCTTTTTTTGGTATGGTGCCATTTGTTAGTATAACTTTGTTTTATATCAATTTTTTTTACATAGTTGAAAAAGAATATTCCTCTTTTCATGTATGTTCTTGAAATTTCGCTCACAAGAATATATTTATTAAGCTCAGGGTTTTGTAGATTTGTTAACACTGTTTTTTTTCTTCTTCAAATCATTTAGAAATTAAAATAAAGTTTATTATTACTACTTTATAAGAGAAATCTATTGGAATTTAATTTTTACATCTCACAACATGGTATTCCAATCAAACTCACATTTGTTTCTTATATCCCTTCTTTATTATCTTGTTCAAGCTTGTTCCACTTTTCTTTACTGTTTAATCCACTTTGCACGTGTTTGACCTATTATTTTTCTGTAGCAATTTGGTCCTTAAACATTGAAGAAGGTTCTTGCGATCAGAATCGAAGCTACAGTAAGTCATTTTCAGGTACCTGTGTTTGTGCTTTATTCATATTGTTTTGTTATATTTTATTCATCTAGTTCAGCAGTTTTTGCCATAAAGAAAGAGAGCAAAAGCAATTTTAAATAAATTAATCAGAACACACTCAAATAACAGCTTAGAATACTTACATTAATTAATCATTTATAATTAACAAATAGAAAGAATAATCTATTTTACCTAGGAGAATCTGGGGTGGACACCTTCAGCCAATCATCTTTGACTGGGGGTGGCATCGGAGAATATGAAGTGTGCATAGAAACATCTCCTATAATATTTAAGGCTTCTTTACAGGCATGGTACATTCTTAACAGTTCTTCTCTCTTGTGAGCTTCTTCAGCTGACTCTTCCATTAATGAACTCTAAAATGATTCAATATAACATAAGTTTTTAACTAATATACACATGGACAAATTACAGTAATTAATATTTTTACAAGCAATAATCATCAAACGAATGATCAAATGAAGAGCTGGTACTGACTAAATTAAAAGCCAAATTATCTAGTGATTGATATCATATTGATTTCAAATATTTATTTTAGGACATAGAAACAAACATGAAATATTGTTGCAAAATAATCAATAACTTAAAAAACTCTCATTTGAACAATATTTACGTAATAATGACTATTTAAGTGCTAATTTATATTAAATAAATTTATTACCTGATCACCGGCAGAATATAGACTAGCAAGCAACTCCGAATAAATAAAATCTTTTGCCTATAATGTAAGAACACAATAAGTAATAGAAAAATCTTTTAACAATTAAAAAAGTTATTATCAAATGATGATAGATATAAAGAGATTGAGACTTTCATAAAGTCATACTAAATTAAATATATATATATATATTATAAGCATATTGAAAGCTAATTACAATTTTTATAATTTTTTTTCCACATATATCTGAAAAAATATTTTTTTAAAGATATTTTTAGTACTATATACTAGCGAATTTTCAAAATTATGAAATCTTCTCTTATATTCTTGCTTTTAAAAAAACATTAGAACATAGGATTTTTTCCCCAAAATAAATTTGAATTTATTCAAAGAATACCGAATTTCAATTAAATAAATTAAAATAGACAAAAGGAAATCAGACTAATTTATTATTATGGGTGAAAGTGGTAAATTAGAGTTAAGACAGAAATTTTTTTTGAAGATTTTTTCTTTTTTTTAATTTGCAGTTACTCAATATGGTTATTAGAAACATTTTTGAAGAATAATCACATTTGTTTTAGTTCATATAGGGTATTATCTACATATAGCTAAAGAATCTTTGTTATATATAGATAGCTTAAGCTTCAGAACAATTGCAAATTGTAAACTATTTTCACTAATAAATGCAGAGACGTTTGCATTTTGATCCGCAATTCTGTCAGCCAACAACAATGTAGCTATCAGTGCAGCCGTCACAGGCAACACTTGGGTTAATTCTTTGCTAGCCAAGTGATTTATGTGATCTTTGTCTTGGCTGTGTTTTGTGAGCACTTTTATCCCATTGTTTGTATGTTTGTGCTTCCCGAAACTTTCGACACTATTCGGCAAAAAGGATGGTCTTTAGAATCTTTATCCTATAACCACTTTTATCTCCATTTATTTCTTACAAATTTATCATCAAAATCATTTCCAACTGTAACACAGAGATCGGAATTCATTGTGAAAAATTTGTTAGAATAAGCAACTGTTTTAACTAAATTCGTTACTCATAAAAAAAAATAATAAAAAATACACAATCAAGTTGCCAGATTTCAATTGCAAAAGGTTTCCAGCAATTGCGGCTGAACTAGATCTGTTCACAAGTGCGACTAAGCAAACCACAATAGCCGACGGGTATGAGAATCCTAAATAGTTGAATTAAAATTCACGTATGCGCCGAAACCCCATCGATTTTCTTTCCACAAGAACCAGTTTATTGAAATTGGGGTAAGTTTCTTCCAACGTATGGATAAAATTGCAAGTGTAATTGAAATTAGGCTTTCTGTGTTTTCGGAAATGGTATGCATTAGCAGACGATACTGGTAGAAAAAAATATTCGTCCTAATTATCGCCTTTCATTTTATTCGAAGACGGAAATCCGTCCCAGGACAGATAAACACTTTCCCATGTTTGATAAATTGTCTTTCTACAATTCAATTACTGAACAACTAAACTCCGTAAAACTTAAGGAAAAACAGTAAGAGTTTGTATTCGTCAATTTATTTGAAAAAAGGTAGAAAAAAATAGAAGGTAGGAAAGTGAAAAAATATTTTATCCAAAAGATATGGCAAAAATATCTGAAAATTGCTACTTACAGCATTAATCGTCAAATGCATAAGAATTTTTGGTACGAGATCACGGAATGTTTTGGTAATGATTTTCATGTAAGAATCTACAAGGTTGCGAATAGTTTCAACTTGTCTTTCCAACTGGGGATCCATGGAAGTGGTCCCTTCAGAAGCACCTTCATCTCCGTTAGTGACTTCGGAAGTGGTTCTTTCAGGGTATACCCCAGCTCGAAGTAAAGAAGCCTTCCAACTATCCACCTCTTCTAAACTTTCACATGATAACTCCAACTGCTTATAATCCTTGTAGACATTTCTGCTTAAAAATGAATTATCAGTTAATGATGATCAAAAAGATTTTTCTGGATAATATTACAAAACACAAGTTCAAACCTATTTTCTGGATTAAATAAGGCAAAAGTATGACGTTTTGACATGAATCCGGATTCAATATCTTTCACTTGTAAGCCATCAAGCTGCAGCATATATTTCTTTTCTTTTTCCTAAAAATTGCATAATTATAGTTATTAATTATGTAATTGTAAATATACATGCTTATCAAAACATGCTTATGTACAAACAGTTATTTCACACAATTGGATAACACAATTTCAATAGTGGTTTCAGGCTAAAAATAATTTTTAGTAACAAAGGGGTGGTGATTGTGACACAAAGTAGAAAACCTTGAAAATTTTAAGTGCAAAAACTAGATATCAAAATATCAGCTTATATACCATACATGTTACAAGTTCGACATAATTCCTTAAACAAAGATTAATTATCAAATTACCTACAATTGAAGAATATAACACTTTTAAAGTAGATAATTTTTAAAAAAAATTTAGCTCTTACAAAAATAACAACATTGGATTTCAAACTGACTTGAACAAAAATTCCGATATTAGGTTCTACAATAGTGTGAATCTAAATAGCCATATTGGTTTATAAAAAATGCAAAAAAAAAAGTTTGAATATATGATTTTTAGATCCTTTGAATACGAATTGTAACGCGTATTTTGCAAATCACGTATAAATACAAAAATCAATGTTTTATAGCACGAACGAACATGTGAATATGAATTCTAATACTAGAACTTAAAAGCTTGTGAATATGAATTGCGACAATGAATTTTAAACTTAGGTGCATACAAATCACAAAATTGAACCTTAAAAATGCACAAATACAAACTAAGATACTTATTTTAAATCCATAAATACAATTCGTGGTATTGGACTTTCGTATTGCGTGAATATGAATAGCGATGTAAGTTTTTTGAATCAGGAAAATACGAAAATCAATGTTTTATATTAAAATTGCTTACACTTAAATTGCGATATTAGCAGATTTCAGCGAAGTTCCAAATAATAAAAATAGCAAAAATCTGTCAAACTACAAAGGAATCAAATTGATGGATTTCCTCCAAATGGCAGAAGAATCACATGTATGTAAATGTCTCATTAATGGGATTTAGCGAAAGGTTTAAAATTCAAATATTAGATTACAGAATTCCGTGAAAATTTTGCTTTATTATAAGTTTTCAATTCACGAAAGTTCGTGAATTAGTGGTCTTGAGATACCTGCAAAATGCATGGAAAAAAATCACAAACTCTGTTCCTAGTTTTTAGACATGAAAAGATGGTACGAAAATACCCAGAATTCTGGGATAGACCCAAAATACCGTCACCCCTGGTAACATTAAAAATTTTAATTTAAAAAGGATTGTGATTTTTAATTAATTATGTGTTATTTAAATCTTATTATTAGGCATGATAGTCTTTGATCAGTTATAAAAATATGATCTACAATAAGTCTAAGTAGCCTGCCAATAAAATAGTTAACAGAGAGACATAACAGAGCAGACCTCTATATTATTTAATTAATGGGTATATATATANTATGTATATATATATATATATATATATATATGTATATATATATAATATAAAAGATGTTTAATCTTTGGGCCTTCAATCACATAGAAATAATGCATACTAGTTTTGCAAGAATATACAAATAACAGTTTATCAAATAAAATATAATGCTACAAATGAGTTTTATCCTTCTTATTTTTGAAGGACTGGTTAAAAAAATTTCAGTAAAGATTTTTTTTAAGAGTTGGGTTGATAGTAAACTTTTATCATAATTGTTGTTGTTGTTCATTTACGTCGCACTAGAGCTACACAATGGGCTATTGGCGACGGTCTGGGAAACATCCCTGAGGATGATCCGAAGACATGCCATCACAATTTTGATCCTCTGCAGAGGGGATGGCAACCCCGCTTCGGTTTCGGTGATCTGCTGGGAATCGTGTCTTATCGATCAGTCCACTGCAGGACAACTTTTATCATAAAATAATGTTTTATTTTGTGCTTAAAAAATAGAATAAAAATGATAAATTTAGAATTACCTCCTCATCTTTAAACCATGACAATGTTTCTGAAGTAAGCACGAACCAATAGTCTCGAGAACCACCTTTCATTATTCCTAAGTTGTGAATACACATCCACCCTTTGCGTATAACCTAAAAAATTCAAATAATTTTGCACGAAATAAATATATATTTCATAAAAACCTAAAACATAATCTGCAATGCATGGGCAAAACATTTAAAATTAGATTAAATGAAGGTTAAATTAAGATGTTTGATGGATTTTTAGAAGTTCTAATACTCTAGTATAGTATTAACTCTTTATTTTTACAATTAAATTTATATTTTTAAAAACATAACAGCCTAAAAAAACTTAAAAAAAAAATAACTTACTTGATTACCAAGTTTTCTTTTGCCAGTATTAGCTTCGGCAGTTTGTTGAGCACTGGAAAAGTTACTTGATTGATTATTGTTAAGAATAGTTCAAAATGTAACATTATGCAAAAGAAGTTGAATAAGTATTGCAAGTTATTATTTCTTTTTAAGATAATTTACATTTAAATCAAGGTGTATAGTAAAATATACAGAGAGTACAATGGAATAAAAAATTTAATATTTGATAACTAGCTCCAAAATTATTAACTGTTAACTTGTACCAAAAGATACCACTCAGGCTGTTCTACAAGCCGCAGGACTGAAACTACAGAATTGAAATTTAGTATGAAAGTACAATATTTATTTATAAACTTGATGCACAGTTTGTTTCTTTTTCAAAACTCCAATTTGCTTAAATGTTGTTACAATTTCAAGTTTTTTTTTTTTTTTTTTTTGCGAATTTTTTCTCACACTTTTTGAGTTACATTACACTTTGTACCAGTGGCGAATATATGTTAAAAAAAAAAATTTTTTTTTTTTTGGGGGGGGGCAACATTTAATTTTATTTAAAAAAACTAAGTGTTGGAACTAAACAATCTCGTTAGAATTTTTTTTTTATGCTTTAAGTTTATCTTATAAACTATGAGTAAACAAAATTGAACGTAACAATTGATTTTATTTGGACTGACGACTGTACATACATATATATATATATTAATATATAAGAAGTTTGTCTTTTTAAGTAAAATTTACAAAACAAAGTTCAGATTTCTTGGTACACTTGCAAATTTATCAAGAACTTCTTCATCGCTTATTTTAACGTCTCTATGGATGGAAAGTAATGCAAGTCCATTAAGTCTATTTTCCGAAGTGGTGTTTCTTAAGTAAGACTTCAGTCTTCTTAAACTTGAGAAGCTTCCTTTCCACAGTCGCAACAGAAACAGGCAGAACTGCTAGTAATTTTAAAACAATATAAATGTTAGGGAAGAAAGTCTTGTCACATTTTTCTAAACAACTAATTGCTGTTTTGGGAAGATCTTCAGATTTATCCCCACTCCACTTTTCCCTCCATAACATAAATTCACTTTTCACGATCTCTTTATGCGATAAATCGTCTTTGTAGAAATTGAAAGCAGCTTCCAGAGAACAGAAATCTGTTTTATACAAAATTCTGGAAGTATGTGTTGTAAGGATGCAACTGTTTCCTTGTGAGATAGAAAGCGTTCCTTCAGGGAATTACAAAAATCGTCAAGGTAAGGTACATAAACAATTCGTCGATAGCTCTCTTCCTTTGTGCTGTAAGGGACGTTGTTGCGGGCTGTTTGAAGACGACAAATTCTTGGATTCTCTTCTTTAATGTCTAGTTTTTCAGCGAATTCCCTTACTTCAGCATACAAGGTTTTAAAGTTGTCTTCAGCATTTGCCCTTTGCTTTGATAGCAGATCTAAGACGCTTGTAACATTTGCCATGGCTTGAGAAAGATCTATGTTTTTTTTTTAAGCGTCTCGGATAAGTTATGTGTAGTTGACAGCATGCGGCTCAAAAGAAAAAGATTGACAAGAAATTGAAATTGACTAATAGAACTACCTAGAGCATGTGCCTTAGGAGCTGAGTCACTTGATTCTTCTTCTATTTTCAAAAGAGAGAGAAAGATTGGTTCTAAAATATCTTTAAACAAAAACACAGAGTCGTGCCTATCCACCCATCATGTTTCTCAGAGTGAAATAAGTTTATTTTTTTTCTGTTCAAGACAGCAGTCAGATATCGTCGATTTCAGTTCTTTTGGCTGACTTGTGGAAAAATCCGCAGACTTCTTTGATAACTCCCATGCAATTTCTTATAGTAGGGATGTTACTTTGCATCTGACAAACACAAATTTAGACTGATGAACAATGTGTATACAAGGCCAGTGGAAGTTTTTCTCTGATAAAAGCTTGTACCCCTCTGAATTGCCCTCTCATCGTGGAAGCACCGTCGTATCCTTGACCTCTCATTTTCTTTAAGTCAAATCCTAAACTTGACAAGGTCTCCAACACTGTGTTAGCTAAGCAAGCACCAGTAACGTCATTAACGGGGACAAAAGTTGAAAAATCTTCTCTAATTTCGTATGATTGGTCTTCAACATACCGTACGTACACAAAGAGAAAACTGCTCTACTTGGCTAATGTCAGTGGTTTCATCTGCTAAAATGGAATAAAAAATAGACTTCCTGACATTTGTCACAATTTGAGATTGGATTAAATGACCAAACGTGTCAATGAGTTCGTTTTGAATAAAAGAACTGGTGTACATACTCTTCCCATCACTGTTCATTAATTGATCTTTAAGGTCTTTATCTCCAATGTAAGCAAGGTATCTCAGCAATGATCGAAAATTTCCGCCATTTTTTTCGGGTTCTTCTAGGCCTATTCGTCCACCATCACGATGACCTCTCACTGCTATTTGTTGCCTTCCGCAAAATCTTATAGTTTGTATGATAGGAATCAATCTTTTTCAGTTTTTTTCAATATCCAATTTTCTTTGAGCATTGACTTGATTGATAACACTGTCGGCTTTTTTTGATACAATGGATTTTGTGTCTTCGGCAATCAAAACTGATGTTTTATGAGTGCAATTTTCATGTTTACAAAATATTTCCTTAGCTTTTTTTAAATTATTAAATGCCCGTGTTACTAATGCCCCTGTTACTTGATGATCTCCTTTTCCTACACTATTGGAAGGTGAAAATATTATGCAATATTTACAAAAAGATCCAGATTTTTCTTCAGAATAAGCTAACCACTCAAATTCTTCTAACCATTTCATTTGAAAAGTTCTAGTATGGGTTGAAGTAGAACAACTGGAATTAGAAGGAAATTTGTATGTAGGTAGAGGTTCCCAAACATTTTCTGAAGCGAAATTTTTTCTTCATTTGTTAAAGAACGAACAGAATCGTTTTGACAATAGTTTCGAATATCATAGATATTTCTTTTTACCTGGTTGAAATCCTCTGTAATTGGGGCTGGATGTGGATCAACTGTACCAATACCTTCGACACCAGAAGAAACATTCTTAGGACCACAGCCAACTTCAGTACTGTCGCTAATAGACTTATTTACAATCTGTTTTTTTGCAAAAAAATTTATAATAGAAGCTTGTCTCTTCATTATGAATGCAATTGACTTAATAACAAATTTAAGATTCCACAACAGCAAAATGCAGATGATCGCTATCCAAGAATCTCACTAGCCCAATAAACAGAGCACACTACATGCATATTATTTGTTTCCCGCTTATATAGATTAAGTTAGAGTGCACGAATTCGAGAAGCTTTGATTTCTGGAACAGTCTAAAATCTTCGAAAAGGAAGCTATTCGAAATCTCGATTGGTTTGAAATGTTGAAAGTCTTGTCAATGAGTAAAATTATTTCATTTATTTCTTCTTTGTCTTATAGTCTTCCAATCTGTAATTCTTAGGTGAATTTTCTTTCCAGGACGATTAGAGCTCTTAAATCTAAGTAATGGTCTATTTTGTTATGATTAACATGTTAACAAAATATTGATGAATGAGAAGGAATTATGGGGGTTGGTGAGGAGAGCAAACGGGGGAGGATAGTCCTAGTAAAATTATAAATAATTATTGTCTTTATACAATTTAATTAATAAAAGTAAAAAAGCTGTTTTTGCTCTATAACATAAATTGGCTCCAAGAAATTTTGACGTTTTGCAGACTCTGCATCTTTTTTCACCCAATTTATCTACCATTCACATTTTATTTATTCTTCCTATAGATAAATACAAGTTCCAAAACTAAAGGTACCTTAGTCATCTTTGTTTCCCCTCCCCACTGTCAGATTTTGTGTTCAACACATTTCGGTGTTTGAACATTAAATATTTGCTAAGTGTGAATGTAACTGAATGAAATTTAAATATCTTTTTTTTTTGTTTTTTGCAATACACAATTTGCAATGTTATTTGATCAGCTTACCGATTTAATGTTGTTTAAACTAAAAATAAAAGTTAATGTTTATTCAATGATAATAGAATACTTTTTAAATCAAGCACAAAAAAAAATTTAAAAAAAATTTATGAAATGAGTTAAACTGGAATAATTAAAACTTAAATTTGTATGACATTAAATACAAATAAGAGATTAACACCAGAATTAATATTGGGTACTACATGTGAGGAGTTACACAAAATCTGAGCAAATAGCCAATAATGGCAATAAATTGATATAACACAATTCTCCATAAACCACATCAACTTTATGGGTAAAACTAATCAAAATAGCTGTTAAGAAATTTTTGTAACAAGGCATTAATTATTAACCTTTCACATAATTTCCTAAGAAGTTATAATGGCAAAATCTAGTCAAACCAAAGCTGATAATTTTTTTGTTATAAGTTCTAATGCTTAAATAAATTGTAAATATATAAGCATATTTGTGTTTTTTTTTACACAATTCTGGAATAAACTAGCATATGTGTTAAAAATAATAAAAATCAAAATACACTGAAACAGTAATAATTTCAGAATAATTAATAGTAATAAAACTAAATGTAAGGTCACACTTAAACTTCAGAAATTCAAACAAATAAAAAAATTAACTTAAAGTTATTTGTGTTACATTTAACATAACAAAAAATATTCTTTCACTTTAGTCCATCAAGGTTGTGTGCATTCTTCTGTTTTGTAAGATTTTTTTAAATTTACTATACCACTTTTTTTACAGGGAAAACTTCTGTAAATTCTTTTCTTCATATAAAAATTTTGGAATTTCTTTTTTATTAAACCAAAAATTTTGAAACGTTATTTTCTATGTCTTTAAATCAGACACCAATTATTCTAAATTTGAAAAAAGAACTATTTCTGCTTTAAATTCTAAAAAAATATACAACTTTCCACCACTTTTAAAGCATGTAAATTTTTTGTTTCATCCACAAATAAAAGCCTATATAGCATAGTTGACTGCATTTAAAAATTATTATAGTTTAATTTCTGATGTAGATTTTAATTAAAATGGAGAGGATTTATATTGTAATATAGGATAATTATTTGGATAAGCATAATAAATTACTCTAAAAATATTGTATAACAAACTGTTAGAGAGATTTCGCATCTTATTTTAGAACCCTTTAAAATATTTACTTGGTAAAGCCAATAAAATCTTCATGATTGGTGTTCATATAAGCCAATTCCACCTCAACTAATAAGATAAGCTGCTCTTTTGTCTTCTGCTCTCGCTCTCTGATGAAACATGTAATGATTCTCTCTGTTTCTTCTCTCAAGCGTGGATACCTATTCATCTAAGAAAAAGTTACAAATAAATAAGTTAAATAAATTTTTTAAGAGAAATTTTGAATAATAAAACAAAAAAGTAGTAGCAATAATAGGAAAAGCAGTTTAACAGGAAATATTTTATACTATTGTAAATTAAAAAAAGAAAAGACATTCAATAGCCTGTGTGTTTTTAATTATAAAATATATATTTTTAAAAATTGTTTTTTCAGATGTTCACTCTTTATAATGATGTGAAATAATAATTTCAAAATCCTACTCATGTAATCAACTTTGCAAGAAAAATATTACTTTTCCAAAGCAAGAATTAGGTGTTTATGAAACAAAGAAAAAAACATAGTTTTTAAATTTACATTAAGTGCTTCTTCTAACTTAATTAGAATCACTTAATTTTTGTTACAAATTAACATGATTTTAAAATTTTATTATTAACTAAATGAGTTGAGAAACTTTTATTTATTTTTTTAAGAAAAAAAAAGTTATTTGTGTAAATAATAATTAGTACTGATAGCTTATCAGTATCTTATCTAACTGATATCATCATCATTATCTTATCATACTTTATTATCATCTTATCTTACATGTTTTAACAAAATGAGCAGCAATGTTGATTAGCTAGCTAATCAAATTTTATTAAATTATAAGGGAATACCTTTTCTGTGCACTTTCTCACAACATTTCCCAATTCAGTAACGACAAGATCAACACATTTCAAAGCTGGTTCCTTTAGTTTTGCAATTTGCTTTTTTACAATGGCTTCAAAAGCCATGTCAGGGGTAAAAAGGCCAACTCTAAAAAATATCGAAGAATAAGTAAGGAGAGAAAGAATCAAGATAAAGATAACAAAATGCCAATAACATCCAAGTACCCATAATTTGAAAAATAGTTCTAACAGTGAAAATGTTTTGAGAACGAAATACTATTTTAACAGTTAGTAAAACATTTCAGACTCAACTTTTTATTATAAAACAAGCAAGCAATAATTATTTAAAATTTATTTATGTGTGAAAACAGAAATTTCTGACTTTTTTAAAAAAAAATCTTTTAACAATTGAACCACTTGTGATAAATAAGTAAAGAACTTTCATGGTGAGAAGAATATTAAAAAACCATTTTGGTACAAAGGAAACTGGCTAAATAATATCCCAAACTCTCGTTTGGCATATGTGAGTACACTAACAAATAATTAACACACATTTAATGCATCTAACCCCTCCCATTAAAAATTTGGATTATTTTTAAAAATTTGGGGATATTTTTGTTTACAGCATAATAATATACAGTTAGAGAAATAAAATTTTTTTGTTTATGCATGCAAATTACTTAGTGTAAAGGGACGGAAATATCACAAAATGATCATAAAAATATAAGCAATGTGTAACAAAAAACAGAGCAATTGGGAAAGCCATTCAAAAGATATTCAGGAAAGCTTAATCAGTCTGTAATAATGGGTTTCTACACTGAAATTTCTTATTTTTAATAATAACTATTTTGTATTTCTTGATTTGTTAAACCACTTTGCATGTGTTTATCTCTTAACAGATAGATACTAACCAAGTCTGATTATTTTCAGTATTAGTGAAATATGACTAAGATAGCTAAAATTGGAACTTTTTGTTTCGTATAATAAACTGCATACACACACACACACACACACACAATAACGATATGANTATATATATATATATAGTATTGAGATTTATTAAAAAATAATACCTTATGCCATGAATGTTTCTAATGGCAAAAGCAATCTCTCTTCTTAATTCTTTTTCATCAAACTCCATCTGAAATAGATTAAAAACTTAGGATTTTAAACTGAAAATTCTTCTGGAATATTCAAAGAGCATTTTTCAGAAATAATAAAAGTAAAAAAAATAATAATGTCAAGGCATTTCTTCATACAACTTTTAAATTATAATCCCAATCTAGTTAAAATCATATTCTTGCACAAGATCTCCATTCATAATTCTTACTACATGATGAATATGCATTTATTAAGTATTAACAAGAAACCGTGGTTAGTAAAAAAAGAAAAAAGGCACTGTTGAAAACGTACATGCATTGATATCGATAATGAATTAACTATCTAAAAAATGGAGTGCAAAATGGACATGAATAATATATAACAATCTGAATTCAGACAATAGTGTTTGTCAATTTCTAAAATAAGGGACATTTTACTTTTTTATTACTAATTCATGAACTGATAATTGTCTGTTAGCGTAGCACAAACAAATAAACGAAAAATAGAAATACTTTAAAAGCATCCACTATACATAAATGTGTCTATGGATATTTAACACACCATTAAACATGTATAGAGTTGTTACATGTGATCATAAAGTATTTATACAAGTAATATTCAAAAAATGCTTTTTAAAACATTAATAATTTGGGCAAGATGATAATACAGCTAAAAAAAAAAAAAACCCATACCTTCACTAATTCAAAAGGAAATCTTTCATGAAATAATCGATTAATTCTAGCACCACCAGACAGCTCACTAGTGTTGATAGATGCACTACCAGAACCCTCAATATTTCGTTCAAAATCTGTCTGCAGTTGTTGAATCATTCTAATAAAATAAACAAGACTCAACTAAATAAGACAAATACATAAAAAAAAAGTCAAAACCAGGCTCACTTTTTTTAGGTAACTTATAACCTTAAATTGAAAATAATAAAAAAAAAATCATTGAAATGTGGTCTGTTAAATCTAGTTACTAAATTTTAAACTTTAAGGTATAAGTAGTTATATAAATTTTTTAAAACTCTCATAACTGCTTTGGCAAAATTGAGATTACATAAAAATTATTCTGAGCAATACCTTTTTTTATAGCTCAAACTTACTTTATGCACTTATCTGCACTTGGAGTAATTCAAAATAATAAAAATTGTAGTAATTTCACTCCTTTTTATTCTGAGGAGAGAAATTCAAAATAGAAGTGTTAACTTCAAAACAAACATAATACAATAACTAATACATTTATAATGCAAAATAAACATTCAAAAACTATTATTCATTTAGTTCTCAAAATTTTACAGCATGTTCAAAATTCATGCCACAATTGACACCTTCATTGATAACATGGAAGGGGGTTTTTTTCATAAAAAAAATCTAGAAAAGGTCATCTGAATGTTCATTATCAACTAATGCTCACTTTTTATATTTCTTCTATGTTGAGTTGCAAAATCTCTTTCACAAACACCTGCAGTTATTAGTAGGAATGTAATGAATATTCAGCCACTATTCAGTATTCGATCCATCGGGTTCTTTTACCACATATTCGGTTGGCGGAATATTCAGCAAAGTATAATTATTTGGAAAAGTATTTCTGGACATTTGGGGGGGGGGGTTAATTTATATTTCAGAACTAAAAAAAATGATTCCGTTCCTCTTTTTTTTTTATCAGCATTTTAATAATGACAGCATTTTTTAAAGAGCATTTTTAATGAACGTTATTCTTTTACGGTCATTTTTGTCTATTAATACGGCAAAGTGAAAAAGTTAAATTGAGATCTTTAATGTTAACTTTTTCATTTGAAAATTAAGAAAGATTTTTGTTTAAGCCTCCATACAGTTTTTTTTTTTTTTTTGAAAAAAAACTTCCGTTTTTATTAACACGCGGTAATTAAGACGGATTCTATTAGACTTTAAACTTCATTTTTCTTCAAAATACGGTAATTGGAAAACTGAGACATTAGCTTTAATTTTTTTTTCGACAGTCATAAATAGTGTTTTGGGCATGATCAATCTTGTTATTACGGCGTTCGAAATTTGAGTTATCACTATTTAATACATTGGATTCGTGATGATTCCATTATAATTTCAAGTTGTTTGATGATCATTTTGAAAGTTGTCATTTTTTGGCTGTTTTCACATGGTTTTTCAAATTTGATATTTTTAATATGATGTTGTTACAATGAGCGATTTGACATGTTCGATTCATCACGATACTATCGCAGTTTCACAGCGTCTAAAGATGGCTTTTAGGGAAGTTATTTATCATTTTTTTCTGCCCTTTTACATGGTTTATAAAATACTGATATGTTTAATTGGATGTTAGAAATTCAAATTTGAGTTATCACTATTTAATGCCTTTGATTTGTGATGATTCTATCAATCCGGAAAAAAACTATCATAAGATAGTTTTTTCGGCTGTTATTTATCATATTTTCAGCCTTTTACACATGGTTTTTCAAACCCCAATATATTTAATAAGTTATTACAACACGCAAATTTCAAATTTCAGTTACAATTTTTAAGACGTTTGATCCACCCCCCTTCTATCTATTTCCACGTGTTTGCATCAATATTATTCAAGAATGGGACAATATTGTTTTTATTCACTTATATTTAAATAAGTTAACATGTCAAAAAATCCATAAAGGTTAAGTTAGTCACTATGGAATGACTTGTTTCTATTACGGTATTGTATCACACATACTGCAACCATCAGTTAGGGCCAATATTCGAAATTTCTACATTACAATTTCTTACAAAAAGCAGTTATGTTTTTAACTTTATACATAATAGTTACTACTTTAAAAAAAAATTTATCAATAACAATGTGATAGATTGAAGATGAAATATGATCTTATGAAATAAATCAAGATATTTGAAAAATCACTCACTGTAACATAGCTTTTGTTTTTCGGGAAGGATCATCTGGATGAAAATGTTTATACTCCTCAACGTCTTTCTCCATGGACAACATTTGCCGCTGCATCTTATCTCGCAAAGCAGGTAGGGTATCTCTTATGTGATTAGTCAATTGCTGATTCAAAACCTGTTGAAGATGTGGTGTCCCCATACGATCTGCCATATGCCTTTAACAATTCAATTATACTTTAAAAATTCGGCAAAAGATTATTTATAACATGCTGAATGATTTTTTCCCCTTTAACTATCTAAGATTTTTGTACATTACGATTTATGTTTGCACACATCCTATAAATAATAACTTAATACTAATCTTTTTAACAAAATAAAATTAGCTTTAATTAAAGCTAGAAAATTACTCTGAAGGTTTAAAAATCAGACTATAGAGAAAAAGGCTTCACAAAAAAACTTACATTTAATGTTCACATTTTCTGCCTTAATTTTTATTTCAAATTAAAAATTCATTAATTTAGTAAAAAAATTTTTTTTAAATAAACTGAAATTATCAATCGCATATTTGTAGTTAATTAACAATATAGTCAAAATATAATTTTCCGTTGTTTTACAATCAATAAATCTTGTTTTGGGGAACTTATAACACGTTCTGTACTAGTACCATAATGCAAGATATATTAATATCACTGAATCATAACAGATATTTCAGTTTAAATAAATCTTAAAATATCTATATATATATTTCTCTTACACGGCACCAAAAAAAACCCTCATTACAACTCGCCGAATGGCAACATTAGAAAATCGACCAATGATTGCTGCTACAAATGTCACATGAGGTGGCTCAACATATAGCGCTTTTAAAAACGGAAACAATAACCAGAGTGAGCATTATCAGGTTGTTCAATTCAGATTCATGCCCTAAAAACAAAAGTTGGCCTGTCAAGAGTTAAGTCATTTGACAGCCTTTCAGTAATTGCTCCAAGATGCCAAATCTATGATTGTGTTTTCAAAGAAATTCTAAATGCTAAGTGTTAATTTCTTAGAGCTTTGCAGAAAAAACTGTTTTTTGGAAAAAATTTAATTGAAACTTCTATTGGCAGTAGGCAAGGGGAACTGCCAAAATCAAAACTCCCCGATTAGAAATGCAGCATGGCGACCTCCACGTGGTATTTCTCGGGTAATGCTAACAGCCATGCATTTTAATTTATTGTATGTAAGACATCCTTATTTAATTCTAAAATGTTATGTACTTTATCACAAATGTTAATTAATATAGAAATTGATTTCAATAATGCTGATCACCAAAAAATATTTCATTTGGCGATAAAACAAATTTTTGTGTTCTTGACTTTTTGAGGGTTATTATCTCACAAGGAAAAGTTAGGGTTTAAAGTTTATATTTTTAAATAATAAAAAAATTTCTAAAACTTTCAGAATTTCTAGCACTAACTAATTTATTATACACATTTAGTTGAATTTAGGTGAGTAACTGCAATGTTTGATAATTTATTTTGCTAATATGTTTCTCATTTAGCTAATGTTTTGATTTTTTCACCATGTACAATCTAAATAGCTAATATACTGTTTTAAAAGCCAATAAGAACATTGATAGAATTCTTCTACATAAGTACAATACTATGTCTTTGATGATAATATACTATGTCTTTGTGCTAGAACATTTTGTTCATTGGCGAGCGAGCGCAGCGAGCCATGGTTCACGGCGTGAACCACATAGGATTGCGTAGCAATTCTCGGGGGTTGGCGAGCGTCAGCGAGCAGGGGGCGGAGCCTCCTAGTAACTTTATATTGTAAAAATCCTAAAAAGATTAAATATTTATACTATATCAGAATGATTGATATTTCATTTAAAATAGATCTAAATATTCCTTCCAATTGTCAAAAAAATTTTCATCACATAGATGGTTACAAATAAAGGGTACACACAAGTCAAATAAAGGGTGTCAGTCAAATCAGCAGGACTATCGCTATTGTAGGATTCAAAAAAGAGTATCTTTAATTGCTACAAATATGAAAAATAGTCTCCAAAATAGTTCCTCATTTTTAACACATTTCTACAATGTTTATCATTCAATAATATAAAATTATTCAAATAATGTTTTCTTAGACCTTAAAACAAATATATACAAATATATCCTCTATCAACGGAACATTACAAAGGTCAAGTCAGAGATACAGGGATACTATAATAGAATAGTAAACCTCATTTACAATTATAGAGAAAAACTATCTTCGGGTGAATACATATAAATGCATGAGCGCATTTCTAGAAAAGTGACTTAAATAAGTTTTTAAATAAATATTAGTATAAATTAACTAAAAAATAGCTAGGAATTAATAAAATAATGATCTTGTTAAACTAGATTGCAGCAGAGATCAGATTTAACATGTTTTCTAAATTAAAAAGACAGTTATATGAATAAATAATTGATCAAAATTGCATAAAACGAAATTACAAAAACAATACAGTAAAATCAAAAAGCTATTTAATATAATATGCTTAATAAAATTTTACATGTGATTATTAAAATAATGAATTTTATTAAATACATTATCATTAAATAAATTATTTATTCCTAAAAACAATTAAGACTTTGTTACATAATTAAAAATAATATGCTCAGAACACAAGCATAAACTATGCATAATATTTACATGTATGGAAAATTATCCTAGGTAAATAAAACTAAGCTCTATTATGCCAAATCAAATTCTAAAAATTTTACATTTATACACTATTGCTAAAAACAGCTACTAAGGTAAGGTTTCCTTGCAATGGTCCATACCTGCAACTTTATTTAGTGGCATTAAGCAATCCTTTTGTCAAAAAAATGAAGTGAAAAAAAAATCTACTTGTTTGTGATGCCAAATTTGAACATTGCAGAAATAAATATATTTTCATCCGTACTTTGGCTGGGGGGAACAGTATTTGTGTTTAGCAAAGAATTTTATCAGTTTCTGAGTAGCTAGCAATTTTAAATATATAATATAGCAATTTTGAAGATTAAAACACAATGCAATTAAAAATGTATTTAGAAATTTAGAGGAAAAAAATTTAATAAATCTGTAATTATATAAATTAAATATACAAAAAAAGAATAATTAAAATCAAGACATTCATAGAGATAAATAAAGTTTAAGAAAGATGTTAGAATGTATATTTATGAAAGTTTAGTATTCATAATTTAATTAATAAAATATTTTCATTACTTATTAAATATTGTTTATTAAAATAAAGGTATTAAAAAATATGCATGATTATATATATACCTATAACTTGGGTGACCTAAAAAGAATTTTCTTTCAGCTTCAAGAGCAGCTCTAATATCTTTTTTCCCTTCAATATCACGTTGGCTACGATTCACAACACCTATATAACCTAAAATTTTAAATAATATTTTTGTAAAACTTATTAACTTGTGTCTGTATAAAAAACTAGAAAATATACAACAGTTATTCATTTCGTATGTTCTGATTAGCTTAGAGTCAAATACCAAAGAAATACAAAAATAAACTTAAATGATAATTAAATAATTTTTTTATAAAAAAATATCAAAAATTTCATACTGTTAAAATATTTGGCAGAAATAGTTTGAGAGAAAATAACATCAACTTGATGTGAACTATAGGATTTGACATGCATAATCTGAAGTGAGCTAATAGAATTTAACATGCATAATTTCAGTTAAATCCTAATTAGGTACACAAGCATTATTTTCTTGACAATTTCAATTACTGGAAGTTGAACAAAATTAATTCTAAGTACAATTTTTTTCCTCGGCTACTTAAAACTACTTAACAATTTAATCACATCTACAAGTTTAAAAACATCTGAAAATTCAAGATCACATTCAAAGTTTAGAATGTAAATCAAAATTACCTCTTCTTAAGGGAAGTAATTTATTTTCTAAAATATCTTTTGCATCAGTTCCCTCATCCATCAGATCCAATTTAGTAATGACACCAATTGTACGTAAGCCTAAAAAAATGAAATAAATATATTGCACTCATTACACATACACATTAATTAGTGGCTCCCAAAAGTGTTCATACATATATGACTTTCAATGAAATAGGGCTCTATTCATTAGTTAAAATGAATATTTCAGAATGAGTATTTAATAATAAGATATATAATCCATTTCTAACAAACATTCAAAACTGCATGTAATATTTTAAAAACAAAGTTTATTTTTAAAAAATTAATAATCAAAAACAAAAGTTTTACCTCATAAAAGTCATCGTACACTTAAATGTTTTTGGATAAATTAATAATTAAAATTATCATCTATTGCTTTATATTTTAATGTACTTATTTTTTATTTATACACAAACCCTCAGCAACCAGCAGTTGTTTCGTGGCACCCTTTATAAGTGCAATAAGAAAAGAATGGGTGCCCTTCATTAGGAATAAACAAAAGACCCTTGTAGGGAATTTAAAAAGGCCAATTTGGCAAGATGTGATTAGTTTTGTGTCGGCCATGTGAGAGACAGTCTCCGAAAAGACGATTTCAAACACATTTAAGCGTCGTGGTATTTCCAACATATTAGATGAAAGCGAAGATGAACTTTTCCATTCCCGATTTGCGGAAGTTAATATAGGACCTATAGACAATGATATTACTGATAAACTGAATGAAGAGTGCATCAACCTTACTTTGGATGATAACTTTATTTCTTTCAATGGGTTTTCGGATTCTGATCAAAGTAAATAAATATATTATCTTTTTCTGAAATATTTTGTCGTTCACATTTTATTTTTTTCGCTGAATTTTAATTTTTCACCTATTAGCATGTGCCGTAATCCTACCAAGATTTAAAAATAGAGGATTGCTGTAAAAGCTAAGTTAGACTTACTAATTAAAATTTATATTTACTTCCGTTTGCTATAATTATTTTCACCTTATTTTGTTTATTAGTGATTCATATTTAATTATGCCTAATCAAACATAGTGGATTTTTTAAAAAAAAGATGCTTTGCCTTTCTTCAGTGCCGTTTATTCGCCCCTCTCCCCATCGTCAAAATTAGCTCGTTTCGTCAAAATTAGGGGTCACTTTATAGGTACATAACGGTAAAATGGCGAAAGAAAAGCTGAATTCTGATACAGAAATTAGAAAGAGAGAAAAAAAAACTAGCTAAATTTATTTACAGACTTTTAAAAGCTATTGTAGATGCCACATGATATTCTACTAAATGCTAATCATGGGTGCAAGTTGGAAAAAAGGCCAAGACTGAAAATTTTTTGACTGAAATACCTAACATACACAATACCCCCTCGAAATATGCAAACTATCTAAGAAAGCTTTACCATAATACATCAAGTTTAAATACTGTACAAAAAATATTTATTCATCTGTCTTCTGATAAAATAACAACAGGACATAAGAAAGTAGACCAATAACGTAGACCTAAAAAATATTTTTAAGGACAGAAAAAAAAACATCTGATTTCCGTCTTCGAGTCAGTCTTGTTTCCGTCTTACTTCTGTCCGCGGACATTTTCGAAAGACGGAAGACTTGCACCCATGATGCTAATTTAACGAAAATTTGCAACATTTACTAATAGGTGAACACTTTTATAAAAGTATACGACATTTGGGAGCTCGAGTTTTGGTTACTTTTCAACTATAGATTTCTTAAAAATAAACTTATGCTTTGTTTCTAAAATATCCCATGCTGTTTCGATAAAAACAGAAAATAAATTTCATTACTAAATATCTGTTTTGAAATATTCATTTTAATTAATGGATAGAACCCTGTTTCATTGAAAGTCATAAGAGTACAAACACTTTTGAGAGCCACTTCATGAAGTACCACAATTACTAATGCACATAAAACATATACACAGTAAAAATAGTTTAGCAAAGCAAAAAATATTTTAAAAACCTTCAGGATCAACTTCTTTTGCAAGCTTCAATGCATCTGATGTAGCTAAATCTTGATTAGCTGCAGTCACAGCCAAAATCAGACAAGTTTCCCGCTTGATGTACGTTAGAAGCATATCTCTAATTTGTTGTTCAATATCAGCTGGTTGATCCCCAACTGGCACCCTTGTCATACCTGGCAAATCTATGAGGGTCAAATTCAGAACTACAAAGAAACAAAAACAAAAATTTAATAAATTAAGTTATAAATTAAATCATATTATAATTACAAAAAAGCATAGAAAGTATTTTGTTACTTTAAAATATTTTAGTTTTATTATTTTATTGTAAGTTTTCATTTTTGTTAAAACATAAGTTTATTGAACATTTTTGTTCAAAAAAATTCCTAATTTATAATTTGTGCATTTTATTATTCAAAATTACAAATAAAAATGCTTAAACTTACTGAATGGAAAGTTTTTTTCTCTTACAAGTAACCAATAAATGTAACATAATTTAAAAAATACTGATTATTAAAAATTTAGTCAGAGTTTCTGATATAAGTCCATATTTTCAATATTATTCTTTTAATCATGTACACAGGGGTAATTGCGAGCCCAAATCAAAAATTCGGAAAATTTCTTGAATAAAATCATTAATGACCCATTTCAAAAAACTAATTTCTTAAATCATTGATATTTTTAAAACATGAAAAATACAAATATAAATACATAAAATCAATTCAGAAGAGAAATTTCAAACAAAATCTTGAGAATATAATACAAAAATGAAAATACAAAAACTCACAGTAAACTGGTCAAACAGCAATTTCATGAAACCAACTCAATATAATAGAAACATTTGAAATAAAAGAAAACAACACCCTCGATTAAAATGTGCAGTAGGAAGGAAAAAAAGATAGAAAAGGTAAAGATTGCATAACAGATTAATATAATGCTTAACTGGGGCTGCTCAGTCAAGACTTTAATTTCACCCTGTTAAAAGAAATAATATAATAAACTAATATTCCTCAATCATTTTCCAAATCAAAAATTTAACATTATAATAATTATAAGGAAAATCATCATTTCTCAAATTTCTTAAAAAATTATTCAAAGCCTCCTGAAAACATTCAACGTTATTGCAAAATTTTTTAGCTCTAAACAATTGAGAAAAAACCAAATTTTTGAAAATTTTATTGCACAAATTAGTATTAAAGTTACAGAAAAAAATAACTTTAAATTTAAAAGCCATTCGTTCATCAAAAACACCAATTTTAAAAATTTTTATCAACAATATAAATTTTAAAATCTAAATATTCAACATTTAAGTAATTCTCATTAGTTTTTTTCAAAACCAAATCAAGGAAAAATACTAAAAATAAAATCAGAATTAAACAAAATCAAATCATCAATATATCTAAAAGCATTAAACTCAAGAAAATTAATTTCAAAAAAATTTAAAAAAATATTAGCAAAAGCCCCAGAAAAGGAATTACCTTGTGGAATTCCAATAATTTGTTTATAAAAATCCAGACCATTTAAGAAATAAGGATTTTCCTTATAATTATTGTAATGTTAAATTTTTGGTAAGGAAAATGATTGAGGAATATTAGTTTATTATTTTTTTTAACAGGGCGAAATTAAAGTCTTGACTGAGCAGCCCCAGTTAAGCATTATATCAACACAATCTTTACCGTTATGCAATCTTTACCTTTTCTATCCTTTTTTTTCTTCCTACTGCACATTTTAATAGAGGACGTTGTTTTCTTTTATTTCAAATGTTTCTTTTATATTGAGTTGGTTTCATGAAATTACTGTTTGACCAGTTTACTGTGAGCTTTTGCAGTTTCATTTTTGTATTATATTCTCAAGATTTTGTTTGAAATTTCTCTTCTGATTAGATTTTATGTTTTTCTTGTACTTTTCCTGGACTTTAGCAAAACTTTCGGGGTACTGAAAGACCAAATTTTGACATTTGTCTGGCTCTTACAATAGAAAAGGTTTTGTTCTATGGCTTACGGAGCTGGTACCCCCTGAAAACTTCGGCTCCGGTAGCCATATTTTTATTTCCAATGTTTTCTCTTTTCTTTATTGCTTCAATTAAAGCATTTAATGCATACATCTGTTTATTCTTGAGAAATATTGATATAATTAAAAATATACTGAAATTAAAAAAAAAACTTTATTAAAATATGAAAAATCCCTATTTTCTGAAGCCTGATTTCAATAAGAAGCAGTGTAACTTATCAAGCTATATTAAGAAACAGTTTTTTGTTCTATAAAAAGCACATTCATTTCACAACAACAAGTACAGTAACGAAATTAAAGTTCTCGTAACGGGTTAGTAATAATCTTGCAAAAAAATATAGAAAAACCCGTAATGGGTTAGTATAAACTTCAAAAACCAAAAACTATCTTCTAAAAAATTAACATCTCGCTGTTGTTCTAAAAATTGTCTTGTGCTTTTATTTTTAATTTAATATTTTTAGACTTTATAGCAGAATGGCTACATTTTTTAACTAATACTTATTTGATTTTTTGAACAATAAATTAATATTTAAAAAAAATTATTATACAATTACCATTAGGAGAATATACTCGTAAATTTATAGGAGCATTAGAAATCCCTTTATTAGAACCAGTCATTCGGTCCGTTTCCTCTTCGATTTCTTTCCGGATCGCTTCAAAGTCTGTAAATTTTTTACCTCTAGCATGAAGAAACTCTCCAAGTTCTTGAGAAGAAAAAAAAATTGAAGTTACTAGGAAGTCATTATGCTAAAATTTATGACAAAAATCCAAATAATTTTACATGTATATTATTTAATGAAAGAAAATAAAAATTCACCTTGGTTAGAATTAATTAGTTGTAATACTAGAGGTCGTCTTGTAACAATTCCAGAACCTCGTGGAAGAAAATCCCTGCAATTAAAATTCGTTTGTTAATTAAGTTAAAAGATAGATAATTATTATAACATGGAATATGAAACACTTAAGATATAATTTAAGAAGAGCTAGAAGAGGTTTAAAGGAAAATTTCAAAGGTTTACATGAAATTCAGGGTATCTGCTAAATTTTAGATTTTCAATTTCATGACTTTTCATGACTAATTTCAAGAACTTTTCATGACTTAACGAAGTTACTATTTTCTCCGAGAAAAAAAGAATAATAAATTTAAAAAGCATTATAATAACATTAATTAAAATGATAGGTATAATTAAAACTGTTATACTGTGCATCTTTATATTTATTGATTTTAAATTTAAAAAACAGAATAAAGAATTGAAGCAATAAAATAACTGAAATAATAATAGCTGAGTAAATAATTTCTTCTTCTTTTTTTCTGAATTATATTCTAAAGATACTTTTCTTGTTCATCAGAAAGGAAAGAAATACTCCTGATTTTTCTGTTCTCCTTTCGGAATAAAAAAAATTTGCCAATGACTGGGTTGCTTCAGCTAGAATTTTAAATTGATAAAATAAAAATAAATAAATAATAATAATTCTGCAATCACAAAAGTTTAAAATATAATTTGCTCTAGAAAGGTTTTTCTTACATTTTTTGAAAGAGCACCAAAATTTTTAAAGAACATGATAAAAACATTTTATATTGTAATAAAATATGACCGTGAGTGGAGATTTTGTTACAAATTCAGATATTCGGAACACCAAAAAATTGGACGAGGTAATTTCATTTTAAAAAATAAATTTTTTCGTCCACCTAAATCCATGACTTCCCATGATTTTTTTTAAAAAATAGTTAAAAACATGGCAAATTTTGTTCAATACCAAAATGCAAGACTTTCCATGATTTTTCATGACTTTCCAGGTGTGTGGATACTGTTAAAATTTTATAAGCTTTTATTTATAAGCTTGGCAATTATTGGTGTAAATTTCCTTTATTAAATTAGCTTTAACTTCCTCGGAAATTTACATTAAAAAAAATTCAAAATAAGTTGGGTTTTTTTTCGTCACAGCAAGTTAGTAAAAGTTGGAGATATTTCTTAATTGTGATATTTCATGCCAATTATAACTGCCATAGTTTCAAATAGATTTTAAACAAGAAAATTGCTTTAAAAAAGCATGTAGTATTACCCGGGCATGACTACAAGTTATACTTTTCAAGTGGTCTCTTTTTCTTTTTTTCAGTTTCCCCAGAAATTTCCAAGACTCGACAATTATCCTGCCGGGGATCACAATACGAAAATCTTCCCAAAATATTCAAAATATAATCATATTAAAATTAATTAAGTCAAAAATCTGAAGGTTGCTATTGAATTTAAAGAATATAAGGGAAGATTGCATTGTGATCAACGGCTGAATAATTGCCAAAACCTCTACATGCTTTTTTTAAACAAAAATTTTTAATTTTTTACCAATTGCAAATTGGCACCTTGGTAGTTGTAGTTAGTTCAACAGATCATGATATGGAAATATCCCAAAATCTGAAATTGTTGGGTAAAATTGAAAATTTAAGAGCCTTCAGTTTCATTTTTCAAAACAATGCATTATAGGATTTATCATTCCAGGAATCTTTAAATGCAGTTTCATGGGATCTCAATTCTCACAATAGACAACATGTTACTCTAATATTCTAAAAGTAGAATCTCCAAGGTTTACAAGTTTCTCAGCTATGCATTTTTTTTGCAATGAATAATATGGGGAAAACTAGTTTTTAAATGAAAGAAATCCACCAGCTGGAACTATGAAAAAAACTGGAATTAATGGTCGACGGTTAAGAATTGTAGTGTGGTAAACACCGCCACTGTACTGTAGGATGAAATTAATCTTATTGTCAAAATACCTTTGAATACACTATTATGAATAATTGCCAGTTTGTGGATATTACCGCATCAGCACTTGTTTTAGCTAACTACACATGCTAAGGTGCTAAAATGTTTCTGTAAATGTAAATGTTTTTTTTTTAAAAAAAATATGTAACGGTTTGCCTTAAATCGTTAAAAGTTATATATTTCAAATCCGTGAAGTTTCTTATGTGCCATTGCCCAGTTATCACCAAAATTTTGTGGATTTCTACATACAGAAACTGATAATGAAATCTTCCTGGCAAGTTTTATTTTGATAATATAAATTTTTAATGTATCTTTGCATTTTAATTTTTGGCACAATATTAGTTTAAATTATAATATATAAAGATTTTTTTAAAAGTATTTCTTAAAAGTAATTTCATAATCAATACTTTTAATAGTCTGATACAATTTCAAATTATGATCTTTTATAATTTAATTTCTTTTTAATTTTACATTGAATACAAATAAAACAGGAAAATAAATTGCAGTTTTGAGAAATGATAAAAAAATGAAATTTTATAGAAATAAAAGGAATGATCATGTAATACTTAGCACAGTTTGTGTAATAAATTAAATATATATGGTTTGAATTAAATTATAAAAACTACATCAATAAAATTTTCCTTGAATGTAATAAGGAACTAAACAAATTATTGGCATAATTCCAATTGCATCTGAATACATATTTTTCAAGTTATTTGCCAATTAAATTATAAATATATGAAAAAATTTATGTCTCAGGTACACATCTATACAATTTTTAAATTGATGAATAATACCTGAATATATAACACTTTTACAATAGAGTAAAAAAACAATAAATTTGTATATTTTCAACAAAGCTTAAAAACAGAATTTTTTAAATTAATTATATTTATAATTCATTATAAATTAAATATAATACAAGCAACTGTAAATAAAAATCACTACAAGCGGTAAATATAAGATTTTAAGTCTAGTTTTCAACTTAAACACTTTTGTATTTCTTGGTAGAAAATCAATCAAACCTATAAATGATAATCGTAATATTGAGAAACAGTGTTTTTAACATTTGAAATTTAATGTACAAGTAAAGAAAATCAGAAAATAACTTTATACAAATGTTTTCTCAAACCAATTGATCAGTTTTAGAGGCTCTATATAAGAACATTAATATTAAAGTTTATAAATTAATAGAATGTTGACATTTTTTTTAAATATTTTACTTATCAAATTCTAAAAAACCTTACCTTCCAACGAAATTTTCCAAAACACTACTTTTGCCTGCGCTCTGACCCCCGATGACTGCTATCTGTGGCAAATCAAGAGACAAATTGACTCCAAGATTAGTAAATGCATCCTGTAGTTTATTTACTATGGGAATTAAACCTTCCATACCAACGTTTCCAGTACTCATTTTGCTTGGGTCAAGCGATTCCCATTAGCAATTCACAACCAAACATTTGTTACCGTGAATATCTAACGCATTACTGCTGTTGTAGGAGGCGGAGAAAAGATCAATGGTCACTCGGTGGTTGGTACATGCTCTTATCCGCATGCGCTAACAATAATTTTAAAGAAAAAATATATGCCCATAAAAGAAGAAAAGAGTCGATATTAATAATTTTCTTTTAAACAAAAATTAAGTTGAAGTAGTGTTAGGTTTTCAAACTTAGTTTTTCTTCAACAAGCTTTGGATTTTTTTTCTCTCTTTTTAATAAAATTATATTTCATATAATTCAATCCTGCTTGATCAATGCATGTATTACTTATCTAAACTAATTTTATTTCCTGCTTCCCTTCGATTATTAAAAATAAAGGAAGACAAACATTCCCTTAATAAAATATCAGAAAATAAAACCAATGAAAACAAAAACTAATTGTCTTTTTCGTGTAATAATTTGGCAACACTGTTCTGTTGCCAACTTTTGATGGATAAATTTTCACACATTAATTCGGAGGAGGGGTAGTATTTTTTAAAAATTTGCTTTTGAGTTTTGGCCATGCTTAGGGAAAGCTAATTATTTAGAACCGAAACTAACCACAATAGGCATAAAGTCAAGAGTAGTAGTAGTTCATTTTACGTCGCACTAGAGCTGCACAATGAGCTATTGGGTATAATATAGCCTACGTCACAGGTTGTGTTGTTCCTACTAAATTTAACCCATGAACGGCATTTTCTGCGAGCCTAACTTCAAGCCACAAATAAACAAACGAAGTGTTCGATCGTTTAAATAGCTGCTCGCCAGATTTTATTGCATTATAAAGAAAAGTTATTGAAACTAAATACAACTAAATAAACAACAACAACTAAAACAAATAACAACAACTACTAATAACAATAACTAAATAAACAACAACTAAATTCCATTCGTTTAGCATTGCGTCATATGTTGTTCCTACTAAATCGAAGTAGTTGTGTTTTTTTCATATTATACCCAATTGGCGACGGTCTGGGAAACATCCATGAATTGATCCGAAGACATACCACCACAATTTTGATCCTCTGCAGAGGGGATGGCACCCTCGCTTCGGTAGCCCGACGATCTGCATGCGAAGTCGAGCACTTTCGGTAGAACAGTTTAACGACGACCAATACCGCACACCCTCGGTCCCTACGCAGACTGATCCAAGTGGTCACCCACCCGCACACTGACCGCAGCCAGTGATGCTTGACTTCGGTGATCTGCTGGGAATCGTGTCTTATAACGATCAGTCCACTGCGGGACGCTAAGTCAAGAAGAAAGACTCTGAAAGAAGGACTGCTTGATCTGTGCTGGTTGCGCTAGCTAATGCAGAGAGATCTGTGGCCATCAAAATTTTATCTCCAAGTAAGTAAAAAAAACCTAGATCCCAATTCCATCACAGAAATGAGAAACATAAAAGCTTCATTATTGTAGTATTTAGTAGCTAGGTGATAACACATTAAATTATTTATGAAATTTTCATCGAGCCATGTGAATTTTTGTCATTTTGCACAGAAAAAAAAGCACCAAGAGATTGCAGTATCCGATCAAAATGGCGAGCGGACATCGAAACTAGTCAAGTAATTGAATTTTTTTTCAGGAACTTCTAAGTAAATTAAACCTATTATAAAGTATTTAAAAAAATTAATATTACTCATAAAATTCAAAATTTAATTTTCTATTAAAAAAACGCAAGGCAGATAAATTTTCACTGAATTTAGAGATGTAACACTGAGAAAAGCACACACAGATCATTAAATATGTACAGGCTTTATAACTTTCATTTTGTTTTAATGTACAAATTTTTTCAGAACAAAATATTACTATGGAACAAAGATATAAATGCTTAAAGCAATAAATTTAATAGCAATAGTAGGCTCACGAGAAATTTAGTCTAATCTAGATTGATTATAAATATTTTTCAAATTATATTTAACATACTGTTATATTTATTTTCAATGTATCATATATCACATTCTAGACCTCCTAACCAATAATTTCAACCATTAAAAATTTATGAAAAAAATTTTCAATTAAAAATTATCAAATATCACAAAAATGACACAATTTCTGAAAACTTCCAAATAAATTTGAAGCATGAAATTGTAAATCCAATAAAAATGTTTCATATCATTCACTGTTTCATAAGTTAAAAAATTTAAAATATTATTTTCTGAATGATACTAGGATGATTCGGTCGGAATTAAATGATATTCTAATCGTTTAAACCGCTATTCTGATAGTGCAAAAGGAGTTCTTCGTGAGGATGCTACTAAAAATGGTTCAAAAGTGTAAAATATTTTTCCAAATTTCCAAATTGAATTTTTCCAAATTGAATGGTGAAATTGAATCTAGTGTAAAAACACTCACAAAACTGGAAATCGAACATGAAGTTAGAATGTTATTTCGGCAAGTGTACTATTTAGGATTGTATTGCATTGGATAAATAGGGGCAGTTTTGGACTTATATTCACGCATAAAACTCTCATAACTACATTATCCAATTGGTTTTGATTTCATTCGATTCGGAGTTAAAGAATTACATAAGAAATAAGGCTTCACTTTTCTAGAGAGTAATGTATGATCCTTTAAATAGGTACAAGTACAAGTCCAAAATTGTATTTAAAGCATACATAGTCAGAGCCATTGCTGGATTTTTCGAGGCTCTGGGCAAAAGATTTCACGGGATCCAAAAAAAGAGATCACTTTTAAAATCTCAATAGATTTTTGGGAATTTTTTAAAATTGATTATATGACTTTTTTCTATGAACTTCATTTCTAAGAACGAACAAATATTAAGTTACTATTATTTTTTTAAATTTCTTATTTTTATTTTGGATTATTGTTTAACTTCTGTTAATGGCATATCCGGAGTGGGATTAAATAATTTTATGAAAAAGTTTTAATATATCTCATTTTTATTTTATGCTTTTCATTTCTGAAATTAACTTCGTGAATAACACTGCTTTCTGGTGCCATGCTTTGTGTAATACATGCATCTATCGGTATAACTGAAATAGAAAACAATATTTTCGAACTTTCAATACTATAAAAATAAAATTGTTTAGGATAATAAGGTACCTATATTATAGAAAAAAGACTTATAACTTTCATATAATTTGAAGCCTTTTCTATAAAAAAAATTTAATTAATTAATAAATAAATAAAATAATATGAAGACAAAACTAATCTGCTGTTGTTGAAACAAGTTGTTTAACAGAATAATTAATAAAGCTTTAAAATTGGAAAGAAAAAAATGTTGGAAGAAAAGTTTTTAAAACTGAAATGATGATTATATGTTTTAGCACAGGGATTGCTGCTCACGTGAACATTTAATGTAGTTCTTTTTTACTGCGCATGCGCGAAAAACATTAATTTTTGCATTTTAACAATAAAAAATAGTTAAAGAAAAGTTAAAATATAAATTCATTGTTTGGTAGAATTGGCTAGTTAATGAATAACGATAAGTTTAAAAGGGAATCAGAACAAAAATTCTAAAGAATTTTAAAAAAAAAGAAAAGATTTTTTTTCAAATTTGTTTAATAAACTTTTGTTTAAAAACTTTGATATGAGAGAGGGGGTGTTGAAAATTTTTTTTACTAGCGAAATGGGCAGTGAGCTGAAAAAGGCTGAGAACCTATAACCTACACGAATTAACTGCTTCGTCGTTCCCTATTTTATTCCGCTTTCATGAAATCACCGCTTCACGGCTCCACATTGATTCTATCACATTCGGCAGCATTGTTTTGAATCTATGGCATCAGTATTTTGGAAACAAGTTAAAGAGAATAGGAATGGGAGTAAAAATTGTACACGGCGGACTAGTCGCTTAGCAGTTTCCTCTTTATTTTCGCCTACACGAATTCACTTCTTCACAGCTCCACATTGACCCGGCTGTCTTCTGCAGCATTTATATTTGTGTATAAAATTTTAACTTTATCTAAAAAGTTGTAACCTTAAAGGGTATTAATGTTCTCTTTCTAAACCACAGCATTGCATGAATAAAATACGAAAAACACGTGATCTTGAGAGTTCGACGATATATCATCAAACATTGATAATTTAAATATATCGCGACACTGATATAAAAAATATTTTTCGCAATATTTCGTAAATACGAAAAAGAGCGAAAAATATCGATCATACGGTAAATATCGAGAAATACTGACAAACGATAATGTTTAGAAATATTGACTAAATATGTAGAAAATCAAGAAACTATAATATCGATGAAAAACGACAATCGATAATATCGAAAAATACCCGCTTACGATGTTATTATGAGTAAAACCTTTTAGAAGCCTCGTGAAGAAGATAGAAGAAAACAGGTGTAGTGATCTTTTTTCGCAATAGCTCATTTTCAAATATTTCCGCTGAAACGACAATTTTCTTTGTTTTGGTCTAAATATTTCGAAATATCAAGATATATCCACCAATATGGAAAGACAGAAAAAATTTCAACAGAGTTATTTTATGTCCTTTAAAGAAGAATCCACAGAAAGACAGTCCTAGAAAATTCTTTGTTTCAGGCTATTTGTCACATGGTTTGTAGATGGAGGACATAAAGAGCTCTAAGCAATATGTAAAATAGAGACAATTTGGAGAACAAATCTTTTCCCATAGAGGCGGCATATTAAAATGAGGCGGCTAAATGAGTGGTCAGGGAAGCTTTGTGAGTGGTAAAAAGCAGGAAAATCAAAAAGGAAAGGGTACTTTGAAATCTATTTTCATCTGTGAATAGACAGTCTCATTGCTTTTTTGACTGCAGGATAACATAACAAGGGCAAATAATTTTTTTTTTTTAAAAGGAATTACAAGAGGGTCGGTAGGAATTGTCATGGGAATTCTTAATTATTGCTTTGCACCCAATAAAATATTAAAATAATTTTTTTCTAAAACTGAAGACAAAAATCATCAAGCGAAAAAAACAGAAAACTGTCACATACAATGGGGGTGTTTGAACTCCCTGAACTCGTTATTTACCTAAGTCCTAGTAGTCACAATCTGAAAAATATGGGAAAAATCGTCATAAACGTTCTTTCAGGTTATTGCCTAAATTATCGAATAGTTTTTACTTCTTCTAACATTGCTATGCAT